ACCAAACTGTTGCACTTTCTTTCCAACGTGTGAGGCTCCAGGTTTTGTTTATCTCTTATCACCATTCTGTGGTTGCCTTGGCTGTTCAGGATGACATCTGAAGGTTGTTTTTTTGCTGTTTTAAATTCATTTTAATGCCAGATTTTAAAGGTCCAATTTTGAACAAATTCATGTAAGTCTCACGTGTCCTCAAAACGTCTATTTTAAGATTCAGCTCAGAATACTGCACAGATAATCGTTTCCACCCTGCCTCTAGTGTCCTGGTTTTGGTCTGGTTACAAACAGGCTGTTTTGGTGTCTGCAGCTTTATATCTGACTGAGCTGCTGCTGTTCACACCCAGTTCAGGAGGAGGGCCACAGACATACTTCTCTCTGGCTGCGTTTCAAGTTGCATGCTTTGTCTTTTCACTTTCAGTATTTACTACAGCTGCGCTTACAGAGTATATACTGTTACATGCAGTGCGCATACGGCTGGGTCATCCTACGTTGTCTTAATAATTCACCTTAAGCTCTGACTGTCTTGCTCATACAGTATAGCGACACAAGCTGTAGTCACTTGTCTGTTCACCCTCTGTGGCTCAAGCTTGTTGCAAAACATGATGTTGTTTGAAATATATGTGATTGTTGGTCAAAATGGCCAGAAAGGCATGCTGGTTTGCATTCTGCAAAATTTGATTGCACTTTGAAAAACCTCTTTGTATGTTTGGCATATTGCACTTGACTCATGCTATGTATTGGGACGTACTACATCTTATTCTGAGATGCTACATAAAATGCATCCTGCTATGTTCTGTGAGTGGCATACAGGAGCTCTGAGGAGGAGCCAGTTAGGAGCAGCGTTTATCCTGTTGTGACATCACAACAGGGGAAAAAAATGAAAAGCTAGATGCATTTGATGTTCAAAGGAGAAAGGACAGAAACAAGGGGATGGAGTTTTCCCATATTTTTGGGTTTCTAGACACAGTGGGTCCACCAAAATATATTTAAAGCAATGAAAAACAGGTTTTCACATAATATGACCCCTTCAAGAGCGATTTTTCTCAAATATTGGATACTCATCTTTCCTCCCTTGGCCCGTTGCCTAAACCTCTCGGAGAACAAACTGTGCATGTGTGTAGCAAGCGTTTGTGTTGTCATTCCGTAGCGCAATGTATGTTGACACCTCACCTATTTATCTGCAACTGTTTATGCATTTTTGTGTTCTTTATATTCATGAATATAATTTTTATTCTTGCAGCAACAGCCACCTCAGCCCATCGGTCCTCCAGACGTCCACATCGATGAAATGTAGGTCCTCTTTATTAAGTAGATCAATCAGCTGCTGCTGTCATTTACCTCGACTGCATGAAAACCGTGTCTGTTTCCTTTCGTCTTAGAGATGCACCGGAGTCTGACAGACTGTACAGCTGCAGCTACGACTTCATAGCCAGGAACAGCAGCGAGCTTTCAGTGCAGCAGGGAGAGACACTTGAGGTGATAAAGTCAAGTCATTTGTCTAAAACGACACAGTAAAACATGTAAATGGTGCAGTCAGGAGCCCATCAAGAAGCTTGTTTGTGCATCAGTGATCTGCTGTAGTAGTGCTGTTTGCAGCTGTTGAAACATCCTGACTCCTCCATCTGACAGGTGATTGAATCATCCAAGCGCTGGTGGAAGTGTCGTAATCGGTTCAACCAGATCGGCTTCGTCCCCTTCAACATCCTGGAACCCGTGGCTCACATAGACAGCCCCGTCGCCCACAGACCCCCACCCGTAAGACATTAAAAAAAAAAAACACACACACAGCATGCAGACACACAGGAATCACACAAACACACAGGTATGCTCTCACCTTGTACATTCCAGAGTGAATTCCAGTGTCCTTGTCTCTCCGCTCCACATTCCTGCAGGCTCCGGCTCCGCCTCCCCTCGCCAAGCCTTCCTCTGCAGTCCCACCCAGCCCCCCTGCTCTGCACTACATCCCCCCTGAGTCCCCCCAGCGGCCTCGCAGCTTACCGGGGTACAACCAACATATGGCAGCTGCAGAGGACACAGATAAAGGTACCGTGTTTTTGTGAGGCAGGAGAGCTTTAGAGTCCAGACTGTGCTGCAACTTTTGTATATATGTCACAGTCCACAGTAAAATCCAGGTGGATTTTGATTTTGCCTAGGCCAAATTAAAATCCTTCTGATATCATAATGAGATTTTAATCCTGTCTGGGCAAATTTTTAATCTATACTGTCCACACTTCACCATGTGTGAACCTCACAGTCTTTAATGCTGGAACCATCAAAGGGTCACACCAACATTTTCATTCAAATACATATGAAGAGGTGGGATTTTGTCATGTGTAACGGTCACACAAGACTGGTACAAATACTACATATATATGAATGATTTTAATTTGGTCTTGGCAAAATCAAAATTTTAATCTCAGTTTGGCAGATTTAAAATCCGCCTGGATTTAAATTTGGACCGTAACATATACATTTACAACATTTCAATTAAAAGTTAGATCTTGTACCTATTTATGAACTAGTTTGGGAATTAAATGGCGGTCTTCAGTTGTTTGAAGTCCAACACCTTTTCTGTTCAGTCATGCTGGTGAATGACGAGCTGCTCCAGAGGCTGACCAACGGAAAGGCCGGTCTGAACAAACCTCTCGTCATCCCTCGCTCCTCGGAGACCTCCGTCCCTCTCGACTATCACTCTCCTCCAGAGGAAGTGGCTCAGTGGCTCCGAGGGAAGGGCTTCAGCGAACCGTGAGTGACGTCACAGCTTCTGACAACAGACCAGATGAACCACATTTCAGTTTGGTGACACTGGGAGGGCTGTCTGCACACTTCATTAGGAGGACGAGTGGAGCAGCTCGAGTGTTTGTTTTATTGGCTTTTTTTTTTTTTAAATCACTTGTGTTTTATGTCCCTCAGGACGGTGTCATGTCTGGGTGTGCTGACAGGCGCCCAGCTCTTCTCCCTCAACAAGGAAGAGCTGCGAGCCGTGATTCCAGAGGAGGGTGCCAGAGTGTACAGTCAGCTCACTGTGCAGAAAGCACTGCTAGAGGTACGCTGAAAGAGGATTAGTGCAACTTTAACGCTGGATCTTATTTCCCTCATGCTTTTAAATAAAAAATAATCCTTAACAAAACTATTGAAAAACCACAAAAGTGTTTGACTTGTACTCAAGTAATCAATGAAGCCAGTGTGCAGAGAAGTTCCACTGTGATTAATGTTCATTAATCTTCAAAACTGAGCTTTTCACACAACCCTGAAGGTAGCTTCAGATTTGGCTGCCAAGGAAAAAGTTAAGTGAAACCTAAAGGTCTCATATGGTAATGAGTGATTTTTAATGTGGTTGTTCTTAACTTGGAGTCGTAAAAAAAAAAAAAAAAACCTGTTGCAGTATAAAGACATTGGAATTAACCATCTTTGCAGCATTTTGAGCTGAAAATTGAAGGACACGCTATGGAGAAATATGTCATCTTCATTCATTTAAAAAAAAAAAAAAAAAAGATTCACAATCGGGGACCTTTAACTTATGACTGAATCTCTGTTTTCTGTTACATTTTAATTCTGCATAATGTTAAACATTTTAGGTGGACCTTTAATGATGTATGGAACCTACAATCAGATACTTTTATTATATTTGTAAAAATGCAAAAAAGAATTAAAAACAAAACAACAACCAAAAAACACCTACAGCAGCTAAAGAGTCTATTAAATTTAGTATGATTGGTGAAACTTTCATTCTATTTGTAAAAGTGGGAAAAAAGGGATTTTATATAAAGTGATTTTTGATCTATTGAGGTCCAGATGCAAAAAAAAAAAAGCTGTGACATTTTCTCTTTTTTGCATTTTCACAAATAAATTAAAGATTTCACAAATTTGAAAGTAGGTTTCAGAAAGCACTGAGGGTTTACCTGCAGTGTCTAATATGGTTTTATCATTACAATGTGGAAAAAGCAGAAGAATTGGTCTCAGTTAGGAAATTAGGAAACTGCCAGTGGAAAGCCAGCTTTAGTGTTGTGTCCAGAACTAGATTATTTTTGCACATCATTTGGGCTTCTAGTCATAAATATGATACAGTTAAGGGTATTTTATTTACACCAGAATCAGGCGCACACGACATGATTCTTCATTTATTATTGCATTGCTTCCTCTGTACATGCACCCTAATGACTGGGAAACACCAACAGCAATATTTATTGATCACCAAGTGTCAGAAACATGGAGCAGCTGTTACATATTTATTAGTAGACGATTTATGTACCATCATGCTGATGTGAATTTATCTTATTTTATGAATTACTTTTATTACTGCTACAAGCTGTTTCTGAGCAGCAGTAGTATTAATGGGATAGTTCACTCTGAGGTCTTTGAACTCAGCTACACTAGAACTTTTTAAACCTGTGCAAACAACGTTTTATCCCCACACACATTCCATTCCTGGTAATAACAATGCAGAGCCTTATCGTCATCCCTCTTCATTTGCTTCTGCTTTCTACAGGATGCCAGAAGAGCCACAGAGTTGGAGGCTGTCATGGAGAAACAGAAAATGAAGGTCGATCTGAAACTGGAGAGCAGCACGTTGTGAGCTGCAGCATCGACGCCACAGTGTCAGATGAAGGATTGTGTTGTTCTGGTACAGCTGTCACTTAAGAGTGAATTATTAATAATATTTACCGGAGAGCAAATGTGACAGTGACTAGTAATTGTGTCATAATGGCTGTTATGACAGAATTACTTCGTTAAAATCAAAGCATTTGGCAGCAAATACATAATTATTAAGCTTCTAATAAAAGCAGGCGCTGTGCAAATTAAATATTTTAACACTGAAGTGCCCGATTTGTAATGCATGTTCATTTCAATGTGAATAGTTCTCCTGTCTCATTCTTACCTGGTAGTCAGACTAACTTAAATGTATTTATCTTTGTAACATACTTGTCTAATCACGATTAACATGCTTGGACAACGACAGGACCTTGGCAAGAAAGGCCAGCAGACAATAAAGATTGAAATGGTGGGATTTTTTTTATTTTTTTAATTGAGACTTTAAAGAAAGATTTCCAGCAGAACATAAACAGATATGACTTCACACATTAGGTAAAGCAGTGCATCCATTAAAATCTGTTTACATGTCATGATAATCCTAGTCGCACTAGTGAAAAGTTGGGCCAAAATTTGGATTTATGACTTTATTGAAAAGCTTTAACATTGAATTTCCAATGTCGTGTGTCTGAACCTACAGCTTCACATGCCAACACTAATTCTGAACATACCATTTATTATCATTATGTTAAATAAAAATAAATCAAAAGAGAAAAAAAATTATAAAACAAGAGACTTACCACCAATACAATTCAGAACAATCATTTACTTATACTGGCCAAACTCTCGACCAGACAGATTCCCTTCACTACTGGAAGCATAAAATAAAACCTGATTAGAAAAAAAAAAAAGACAATAGGAGACGTAAGTTTGATGCTAACACTAGAAACTTTAAAATCTTTGTGTTTATTGAATTTGAATCCCTAAAACTTTAAGTGGGCGTTTGGAAAAACTATGTACTGGGGACAATTATGTGGACATTCGAGACCTGCACTTCACCATGAGACAGTCGAAAGAAATCTTCAGAGGGAGAGAGGGAGAAAAACTACTTGATAGGACAAGGCTTTTCAGACCATGACAATCAGTAGGCGCAAAACATATTTACAGACAAATTCTTTATCAAAAGACCATCAGTTAATAATAAAAGAATATGGATCAGTTACATTTTATGCTCCAGTCCGGCAGACCAGTTTGTGTTTACTATTGGGCTTCTTGGAGGGTAGTTTATAACAAGACATGGGATGGACTGGATACAGACAGCCACCAAATTACAGATGTGGGTATTACAGTACATCCACTACTGATCAATAACCGACCTCCATAATCCAAAAGCAATCTGATGGATCTGGATACTAGAAAAGTGACTCCATACAATATTTCAGTTATGTGTAGACTCTGGATCGGCTGCATTGACGATTAAAGCAAAGAAAGGAGGCAGGCGGGAGAACAGAGGGATCAAGGCAAGGACTGTGTGTAACATTAGGTTATTATAAATGGACAGACGAGGTGAGAGAGACGGGAGGAGGCTGTGTGTGTGTGTGTGTGTAGTGGTGGATGGAGTTTGGTCTTCAGAGGTCCCCCATGTCCCTGTCGTCTGCCCGGCGGGAGTCTGACCTGCCGTTCATGCCGTCCCTCCTGTCTCGCTCCCGTGACCGGTCTCTGGACGAGCGCTCTCGGTCCCTGGACGACCTGCGTGACAAAACCATGCAGCGTATTCAGGAAAATAACACAAAGACAAATGTACACAAAGGCAGGGCAGAAAACAGGAGTGTATCTGTGAGGAGTCACATTACAAGCTTCAAGTGGATACAGATTCTCTCAAGTTTATTTTGGATTAGGAGTCGTGTGTGGGTGAAACTCTAACACCCATAAAAGATTAATTGCACTTCTAGCCACTGCCAAAAAAATAAAAAATCCAAGCACCATTATGAACATTTAATTATATTGACTGCTGAGTGGTGTAATAATGTCTCCAACAGCAGTTTTTAGGTGAAGCAATAATTTACTAACATCCAACACACACCTCACCAGTTGTCTAGAATCGATCTTCTCATGACATGCCTATCAGCGTTAAGTTTTTCAACTGTCTGAACACACAGAGGCAAACCTAAACTTGGCAGCGTAAGCACTTTCTCTGGAAAACAATTACAATACCCACCACACAAGTTTTGACAAAAGGCTTTGGAGGAGTTCTTGAAAGTATAACGCTGAAGGGGTTTGGTGTGAAACATGTATGCTGCGTTCGAGTGCTTACTTGTGTCTGGAGCTCTGCTCGTGGCTGTGACGGTGTCCTCGGCTGCGTGAGCGGGATCGGCTGCGATGCCGCCTCCTCCTCTCCCTGGAGCGTGAGCGAGAACGGCGCCTGTCCCGTGAAGAGGAGTGTGAGCGCCTCCTTCTGCGGTCGCGAGAACGGGACCTGACAAAAATAACAGATGACACTTTTTAAGTATATAATTAATCGCATAGCTTATTTGAGCAGAACGACCCTGACGGATTTAAAATAGAGCACTAAATACAGACTAACTAGATAAATGAGACCACTTCCTTACCTTCTATGCTCTCTGCTCCTCGATCTGGTCCTATAAAATAAGCAGATGACAAGCACAAGGTTGAGCAGTTTAATATGCATTTGATTCAACAACCAAAACTCCATAAATGTCAGCAGGATTTTAAATGTCTCCACTCACCTCCTCCTCATCCTTTCCTCCTTCTCCCTCTCTTCTCGTCTCTTTAAGCGCTCCTGGTTTCTCTTCTCTTGCTTGTCCACCACAGTTTTCTGAACAAAATAAAAAGACATTAATCAGTGAGAGGTCAAGTTTATCATCCAGCATTTTTATCTTGAGTACGTGACAGGATGGTGCGTACCTTTAGCTGGTCCAGTTTCTCTCTGATCTGAATGAAGCCCAGATGAAGCTTCCCACCGAAATGGTCGGCCAGACGACGGTCATTGTCGTGGAGACCCAGGTAAGCAGAGCACACCTCACACACCCGAAGCTTCTGTTGCTGGAAGCTGGAGGCCGGCATTGAGTTTCTGTATTCTTCCTGAGGAGGCAAAGGGGTAAAAGAGACCTTGAGGACTCAGAAGACAAAAGTAATGTAACAAAAGCACCATATTCCACTGAGCTTCAAGTGCCTCTCAAGCACTTCTTCCTCACCTCTGCATCCTTCTTCCTAGTGCGGACCTTCTCCACTTCCTGCAGGACCTTCTGAGCCTCGTCCACATTGCCCTCTGCTCCGAGCTGCTCAGCCTTGGCCAGGAGTTTCCCTATTTCCTCATTCAGCTCGTGCACCTTCTCTGCCTAAAACGCAGCCACAACAACAGAGTTTACACCAGGTTCTGTCTCGCCCAAAGCACAGCGATGGCGGAAACTGAGCATTAAAAACTTAAAGACTCAGGCTTCACAGCTTTTATAAAGTCGGATGTCAATTACCTTTGCTGCCACCTCAGCACTAATTTCTTCTTGGGTCTCAGCCAGGCGCTTCTTGGCTAGCTCTGTCCTCCGGTCGCAGTCGGCAATGAATGACTCCAGGTGATCCACCGCCTTCAGGAGTGTGAACATTTGTAAATAATGTATCTGACTCAGATGCTTATGGATGTTACAAACCAACTAATCATGGAGCTTTTATCAGAACTGCATCATTGTTTTGAATGTTGTCACTGAGCTACTGTATTTTAAACATACAGATGCTTGAGCTGAAATCGCAGCTTATTTTTAACTCTAAAAGCAGCACAATGTAGATCTCTACTCTGAATTTTATTATGGTAGCTAACAATTTACAATCAGCACACATATTATTTATAGGAGGATATGACTTACATCAAGCTCAAAGAAAAGATCTCTCTCCTTGGAGGCAATTTCATAATCAGCTCGTAGTGCCAGGTCATGGATCTTTGTGCACTCCCCCAGGTCCATACGCTGCCACAAAGACAAAGGCAGACATAAGTCACACTGCAGAAATTCAAGTATAAAAAAAAAACTAGACTGCATAATATCAGTTATCTCATGGTACATATTCAGTTTTTCTTCTTCTTTCTGGTATTTTACTGGCGAGAATGGAAGCATCCTGTTAAGATTAAAATGTGGTTTTAAAGCTTTAAACGGGACATTCACTAGAATCATTTTTATGTGGTTAATGTAGGCCACTTACAGTTCCAGACAGGATGTCATGCGGACAGCAGTTGAGAAGGTGACTTTTGCAGACTCGCTCATCAGTGAACTTGACCCTCTGCCGTGTCTCATCTCCTGAAACAGTCCAAAAAAACAACCAGTGAGAATGACCTCACATACTTGATAAGAGGGGCGAGGCATCCAGTGCTTTAATTATATATTATGGTAAATGCATTACATTCATTTGGCAAATGTGTGTCACCATTATTGCATTTAAATATTGTGTGGCCACCTAAATGAGTAAAATCCAATTACTGATGGTCAAAGTTTTCAGTAAACTTTGATATTGTAAAATTAGATTTCACATTAATTGAGTATTTGTGCCTCTACAGGCAATAGACATGTGTGATACTTCCAATTATTGTCGGTGCTTACCTTACCCAAGCCTCAATAAAAATGTGAAACTGTTAGAGGTTCAACTCGTTTTGAGGCTCGATGCCCACTTTGTAAACGTGGAGCACCGAAAGATTGGGCTCAGAAGATACAACACGATATAAAGAAATACTACAAGATGGGTGTTTTAGTGAACTAGTGTCAAAAGAGCTACTTTCACTTTGTATGATCTTCATTACACTTCAAAAGCATGAAAGATGGATATTGAGACTATGAATAGAAATTTCAAAGTTTCATACAAATGTACCAGCCAAGCCTTTTACAAACATGAAACAATGAAAGAAAATACAAAACAAAAAAATGCAAAATAAATCCAAGAAAAAAAAAAATTTAGTTTATACACACTGCGATCTGCACCACATACTGTACCCTTCTGCATCTTCAAGACCTCAGCTGCAGAATTTTAAACCCGCTGTAGAAAAGTATAAATGGGAACAGTTTTCTTGCCCATACCTGTAGTAAGAAGTTGGGAGTCATACACAAGTCAGAGTGTAAATGATGTGTGAAAAGTTTTTGTGTGGACTGATTGCTAAAATTGCCTTCTGAAAACATGGGTGTAATGGAAAAACTGCTCGTTTGGATTCAACGCGACCAGACGTCTTAGCTCAAGCTGCATAACACTACTCCAAATTGTAATTCTAGTGCCACTGAAGATTTAACAATTTGTGTGATTATAAAAAAAAAAGGGCTACAATAACTTCCGGAAGGCAAACAAATTGTTTGGATATTCATCATAACAGCTTTAAAAATTATGTGTGACTCACGGCTCGATGAACATGAGGCTTTTCTGCAACTCCTTTGCAGATTGATGTAGGCTGGCAAAGATACACTGAACCTTAATGAATAAAATAAAGGGGCCACAATTGTTCAGTTTGTATGCAACAAATGTATGGGAAGAATTTGATATCAATTTCATCACACATACACCCACAAACTCACAACACAAATTCACTCTTACTGTACAGACCGAATTATTCACTTATTAAAAGATGATCCACAGGGCTGCAATTGTATTCAAACAACTGTCCAAATGACACTCTGATTTACAAAATGGCAGGGCGCTGTTAAGCTGCCATTTTCTGCCCACAACAATCAGAGCAGACAGCTGATATACCAATTAATGTTTGGATCCAAATGGCTTTAGGCTACGACAAAAACTGTATCACAGCATATCAGCAGATGCATTAAGATAGCCAATATTGATTACACAACTACAAAATTGTGAAAAAAACAACTATTGTGAAAACAATTGAACCGATATTGTCTGCACTAATAAATGCAGATTAAGGAGCAACTAGTTACTGCAAAATTAGTATATATACGCTGTATTGTCTAAGACTGTTTGGTAAAATCAAATGCAATTTTTTTGTTTCACTTCAGTATTTCTACCTTGTGTGACTTAATACTCAGATTTATTTTACTCCGTACTGAAAGCTGCAGTTACAGGTTACTTGGCTGATCAACATTTTATGCTTAAAATATATGATCAACTCAGGATTTGCAGTATTATTAAACAAATTCATTATTATATGTACTGAAAGTAGCTAAGATTTGCCCCACCTTAAACCAGATAGAACACTGAATTACTACTGGCAATGCAATAGTTGCAATGCTTTAAAATAGGCTTTGGAAATAGTTATTAAATCACAGTGACTGCTATTTTCTGCCTCTTCCGTTGTGGTTCTCAGTGGAGCCACACTGCATTATCTTCTTAAGGCAGTAATGGACAGGTGTTTTGCTGATTGCAAGCCAGTTAGAAATGACTCTCTCACTGTATCCCTCTTGGATAAGCACCAAAATAGATGTCTTCTCCAGTCATAATTTAGTTTGGATTCTTAAGGGACTCAACATTTTCAGCTTATGGACAAAATAACAGTGATTCAAAAAATGTTTTTGCCTTTCAACGTAATTCAAAGTATTTGATGAATAAAAATACGTTTGACACGTCTCTTTGAAGATGCTGAAGCTATGATCACATTAAAACAAAATTAATAATGGTAAAAGACTGTTGTGTAGACTCTGTAAAATGAAGAAAACACAACAACAGGTGGCCCAATTATTATTTCCAAAGCTGTAAACCGCAACAACGACAAGGGGCATTACACTGCTTGGCATTTTAACTTTAAATGTGAAATCCATTTTTCTAATCATATCTATGGAGTAAAAATTTGGAGACCCTAGGAATGCAGGGTCTGACCTTGAGTATTTTTTCTTATCCAATGAACCTGCTGAGTAACACGGTTCATTTAGCAGACTGTTAAGGCGGCATTTAACGCTAATAATAGGCCTAATACGACGTCAAGCCCATTTGTGCGTTACAAGGGTGTCAACTGAAAATATTATGAATTTAACGCAGTTGCGTTAAAATAATTTTTAAAAATTGTCAGAATAACTTGTTGTATATCGACCAACGCTCAGTAGCATGGCGCCTGACTGCTCCAGAACTTCACAATAAACATAACGCTAGCATTAGCTAACTTAGCCACTAGCTAAGATTCAGCTAGCGCTAAAAGTGGTAAAGCGAATTTAAAAGTATTTCAAACACAATTAGCCAATGTGGATGCAAACATTATATCCTAACATTAATCTGTACAGGGTGCTTAAATCTAATGATACTGTATTTTACACAGCCCTCTGCAGTACATCCATTCATGCAGGTCTGTCCATCACACGCCAACACCAGCCAGCCTCAGCTGTGGCTCCATCTTGGCTAGCTAGTTAGCTCAGCTAGCATGCTACGGAGACTCACCGTCCCTCGCTGTTCCCATGAGCTGGTCGAGCAAAGCTCTCATTTGAGCTTGGGCAGACATTACTGTGGCTCCTCCGTCGATAGCGCTATATAAAAAAATAAGCAACTGAAAACAGTTCCTTAGTTAGTTTGCTGGGCTATTTGAATATTAATTTATCCGAGCATCCCCCTCTCGTAGCTTTTCTCTGTTTTGTGAACTCGCCAGTTTCCGTTTAATATTACGGACATGACGATAGGTCCTCGTTAAACAAGGAAGTTCCGCTCCCTAGAGGGAGGGCTGTATGTCTGAAACTGACCAATCATAGCCTCCGAGTACAAGTGAACTGACCAATCAGAGCGCCGTGATGATATTATTGCGTGTGCCCTGAATTTAGCCTGTCAGGTTTTAGCGCTTCACAGTTTTTGTCCACCGATAGCGCCCCTAACTACACATTGTATTTAGGTTTAGGTAAGTCAGTGTTAATCTTAAGGTTATTCTCATGTTCAAGGGCTTTAGTGTCATTTGAGGCTATCCATTTTCAGCGTAGCGCTACCTGAGAGACAAGCTCAGGATTCATACATTCGCATACTGGTGGACTTGCCTCTGATTTGTTTACGCAGCTAAAGTTGACAGGCAGCTCGGTCAAAGTGTGTCAGGCCTGCTACCTCTGTTAGCCACACGAGTAACAAGAAGCGACAGTGGAGAGTCAAAGTAAGAGAAACTTTTCTCTGATCTGCGTAAACTGTTCAGTTAAGCTAAAAATGGAGGATGTTTTTGTGCTAGCGTTGACCCTCGTCCTGTTTCTGCGGGGGGCTGGCCTCCGTTCAACAAGTTAGCAAACTAACCTAACCAGGTGTCAAACTTTTCATTCCTAACCTCGCCACCATATCCGACTATGAGGTGGAGAAAACGTTACGTGAATAAACATTACACGCTCAGTTCAGTAATTTTGACAGCCGATCTGCTTGCTGTATGAAGGTTATGAGACCAACCATTGTCTCCTCCCCGTTTGACACCGGAGTAATAAGCCTGTGGTAGCAGAACAAACAACAGGGTGTGTTCTCCTGGGCCATGATGACTGTTTATTACGGGCTTGTTGTTTTTGTGATGAGAAATCTCTGGAGTGAGAGCTGGCACGTCTGAATAGACAGAGATCCACAAAGGTTGATGCAGCAGAACTAGCTGGACTGACAGACACTGCTGCCTCCAGTATTTTTTCATGTTCTATATATCTGTGAATGCCAGACACTTTTGTGTGGTGACTTGCAGATTTTGTAATCCCCTCCACGCTGGGACAGATAGGGCCATTCACTCTGCAGGAAACTATCAGGATTTTTTTTCATTGAAGTGTTTTTGCATTTCGTAAATGTCCTTCCTCCTGTCAAGCAGCTCTGAGCCAGTAATGCATTGAGGCAGCGATGGAGACCACAGAGCATGCCACCGAGGGCGACCCCCTGAAGAGGGGCGAAGATGGGGCAGAGACGGGGACGGCACAGACGGCGACAGAGCTGAAGAAGAAGAAGAGCTGTAAGGACGGCTTGAATTTTTCCAAGCTGACCCACTGGCGAACCGCAGTCTTCTTTCTGTCCTTGTTCATCTGCCTCACCATCGTGTTTGCCTTCTCCTTCATCCTCCCCTGTCCTGTGAGACCACAGTATCTTGTTATGTGGAACAGGACTTTCTCTGAATCGGGTATGTATAATTTCATGTTTTTTTTAATCATCTTTTGGCATCGTCTTACACGTGAGACTAACTGCTTTTCCTTTCTCCTTCTCCACCTTCAGCAACCTATGACTTCTTAGCTATCGAGCATGCAAACGACGACAAGGTGATGGATGTCGTGTTCGTCCTCAAAAACATAGAAGGCACTCAGACCAAATCGTGTGCTGATGCAGGTATGAGATGCTTCTCATTTTACATCTAACTATGATGAAACAAGAGTTGGATTGCTCGCTATATAACTGCTTTGTATTATTAAATATGATTCAGCTTAACTCTGTGTGTTCTCCAGGTCTGTCTGCACCATGTGTGTTTGTGTTGGCTGTGGACGGCACAGATGGAGAGACGCTGTGGGAGAGTCCGCTGGAACGCGAGTTCCACTGGGCTCAATGTGGTTTGACCAAAGAAACAGGGAGGACCTGGGACTGCCTGCTGTCCCATTCTGACAAACTCACAGCCATGGACAAACACAACGGTCAGTGACTCGTTTCATGTCTTTTAGCGTGTGTCACACATTACAGAACATTTTTATTCTGTATTTTATAAAATATATGTGGTATACAGAACAACAAAAAACTCCTTATATAAAGTCTGTTCCAAAAAGAGCTACAACATCAAGACACCATCAATAAACAAGGTTTTTGCACAATAAACTTCCACCATTGCAGACAGCAATAATATTTGGAAAGTTGCAAATTCTTGATTTTCTGTTGCTCAGAATTTGGTCTGTGTGTGTGCACATAACACACTTTGACTGTTGGGGGGGCGGGGATGGAACCACCAACCTTGCGATTAGAGGACAACCTGCTCTACCACCTAAGCCACAGCGTCCCCATTTTGAGTTTAACACATTAAAAACAACACAGAAAATTGGAGTTGTTCAGTCACATTGATATGTAATTTTTTAGTCAGACATTTAAAAAAAAAAACAAAAAAAAACCCTTCCCTGTGGATAATTTTCACGCGATTATAGAGCATTTTAAATCTCTCTCTCGCTCTGATGGTGTGTTTTTGTGCAGGCATTACTTTTAACCCAGTTACTTGAGTGGGTCTGGGTCGGATTTGTCGTTTTCACCACAAGAACTGGATATTCCAGACAAACCGCATTCCTGTTCATGCAATTTCAGGGGCTGGGTGACAGCTAACTTCCTACAGTACACAAAAAATAGAGGTTTTAAACTCTGGTCCACATCATAACAAACGTCAGATACAGGCCTCTGTTGGTTCACTTAGTACCAATGTTGGAACCCTGGAATAACTGTTGATAGCCACGTATCCTTTGAGCAGCACACCAGAAATAGCATACAAGAGTGTAAAAAACATCTCCAAGATAATGCTTTACTTTATGACACAGAATCGCACAGCAGCACACATTATTAACTAAATCCAGGAGGTTCTGTCGTGTCATCCCTATTGTAGCATCACTGTAGTGGTTGCCGATTACGTTTAGAATATATTTTGAAGTTGTATTGATGACCTACAGGGCTGCAAGGTGATTTGGTGGTTATATATATATGATGCAGTGATAAGACAGCTGTATAACCCAGTCAGACTGAATGCTCTGCTCTTGAATGGTGGGTTTGTTTTCAGGTCAAGTCGTTTGGCAGCATCCTCAGCCCACTGGTCTGCACAGCTCAGTGCCTGTCCTCAGTGTCCCTGATCTGGATGGAGACAAGGTCGGTGATGTGGCTCTGGTGGCAACTGACAGCACACAGGTAAGCTCCAATGATGGTATTTATTTACCTTGCAACAATTTCTTGCTATTTCCTTCCTTTCCTGTTTGTATTACAGTGCAACTATTAAATTATAATACGCTGCTCAGTGTTTGGAATTTGTTTATTTTAGATTTTCCCTCTAATCTACTGTAACGGGACTTTAATATGAATGTGATGAGCCCTGCCACTGAAATCATCTTATCCACCCAGTTTTAATGTCACTTGTCATATCTGCAGACTCAGCTGGTTTTGCTCTCAGGAAAAACGGGCGACCAGATCGGTTCCACGGTAGTTCTTGACTCCACGCAGACAGCCAATCATCTTCTCCACTGCACTGCAAAAGGTTCTCACTACGTACTACTGCAAAAAGGTTTGTGTCTGAAATCAGCTCCGACGGTGACAACAGGACGTGACATATGTGCAGTCAAACCAGTTAGGCTTTTCCTAAACAATGAAGTGCTGCACTCTGTCCAAATAGCTCAAAAAGCGTCAGGAATTGTAGTTCAGGTGCTCAGGTGAACGGAAATAAAAACTATCTGAAGTTAAAAAGCCTTCATGTCATGCCAGAAACCAGTGGAATTAGATGTAAAACTCGAGGTGTGTACGATCTTCATCAGGAATGTCGTGGAAAATGCAGTTGCTTAGCCAGAGACTAAAGAGCTGCTCACTGTGGCATAAAAGTATCAGAATATGACAGAGTGTAGTCTGTCTTCCTGTTGTTATAAATCAGTTTTATGTAACACATTTAAGAAAGGCATTTGTTTGGAGTTTAAACATCTAATTTTAGTCTTAGTATTATTTCTCAGAGCAGTTCTTAGAATGGAACAACCTGTTTGTGCTCTATTTTAAGAAGCAGTGGTTTATTATGGGTTCTTTGGATCCCACTGCTGATACTGGGACAAGGAAAAGTAAACCAGTTGATGCCCCGCTACAACTGAGTGACAAATTACAGGAAAAACCTACATAAAGTGTCTTAGGAAGTTGGTGTGCCACCAGAGCAGCTTCAGTGCACCTTAGTGTTGATTCTCCAAGTCTCTGGAACAACTTTCTTCTAAAAGGCATTCCCTCGTTAGGTGTTTTTATCAAACTATTCAGTGACCCCTCAGGCCCAATGGATTGAAGAACTATCATCCTTGAAGAGACCACATCAGTCTAGCTGGAGATGTTTCATCATAGCATAAAGGCGATCCCTCAACTTTGTATTGATTTGCAGTGACTCTTTCCTCTGAGGGGACAAGTGGAGTAAAATTTAACAGAACCACCTGATCCCCTCTCTACTGGGTTTAGGTTTTTCCTTTAATTTGTCATCTGTCTGTAGACGTGTACACATGGATGTGCTACACCTGATGGCAGCAGTGAGTAAGTGTGTGTTCGCTCACAGATGCTGGCTTGTATGGACTGGCTCTGTGGAGGATCGCTGCCAAGGCTAAACCAGGGATGGAGGCAGGCCTCAAGCAGGACAAAGTCTGGGAGAAGAATGCCAGTGCCACATCTGGCCTTGTACCCATCTACCAGTAAGAAGCAGCCCACGATAACCTCTTAGTTCTCACTTGGACAATACAGCCCGTCGTCACTGTGACACTTGTGTTGCTTTGTAGGTCTGAGGCAGTGAGTCGAGTGCTCAGAAAAGAAGAAGCAGATGATTCATCGAACCTGCTGGTTGTGACCGACAAAGAGGTGGCGTTAGTTGATGGACAAACGTTGCAGCTACTGTGGAGAGTGAATACCAGCACGATCCTCAGGTAACCATTGTGTGGGACTTTAATACTACAGTTTGAGATGTGGAAAGTGTATTGTTGCATCCCTCTGTCCCCAAGAGTTTGTTGTTGTTCTAGTTTTGTAAACTTAGGTGTTCATAGCATCTACAAATTACTTATAGCTGAATTGATTAGTTGAATAATTGATCAACTGGCGGCTATTTTAGAAACTGATCACTTAAGTTCTTTTAAGCAAAAATGCCCAAAATCTGGTTTCTCAAATGTGAATATTTGATGGTTTCCTGTGACAGCTGATTGGATATTTCTGGGTTTTGGTTTGTTGGGTAAGCAAAAGGAAATGATTCATTGCAATTAATTGCTAATAATATAAATAGTTGCAGCTCTTAAAATGAATATTGAACCTAAGAATTAAAATTTATTGACTGGAGTATTTTTAAAAAACCTACATCAACATTCGTGAGGCCTTGAGTCAAGTAATTATAAGAGCTCTAATCAAATGTCCACCGATAAAACAATAAATGACAATCCAAAATAATCACTCCCTCCTAGTAAAACCATAAATCTCCACTCTCTGAAGTGATTTTTCATGGTTTGTCTCAATCAACGACCCTATAAAAGCCCTCTAGATAAATTCTGGTCATTTTTTTGTTTTGGGAGAAATCATTAAATTCCAGTGAAATATTTATTGTTGCTACATTAAGCTCAAATATATCTTTTCCTTTGTGTTCTTTCAGTGAGCCCTCCTTTGGTCACTTTAACAAAGATGAAATACTTGATATTGTGGTTGAAGAGGACATTGGCAACTACACAAAGAGGGTAAGTTGGGTTTAAAATGTATAAACACTGCACACAGTAAATTAAATGATATTTTCTACACCCTGCCTCTCTCATATGGGCATTGCACCACCTTCCGTCTTGTATGTAGGTAATGATTCTGGATGGGAAGTCTGGTGGCGTGCTGTGGAAAGTCAACCTTTTGGCCAGTCCGAATTCACCAAGACCCGCCTCAATACACACCACCAACTTCTTCTCAGTGTTCATGCTCTGGGGCATGATGCCCTCAGAGTTCAACTCAACTGTAAGTACACCGCTGCCTCCATTAAAAGAAGCATTTCATAGTTTCCTCATGGGTTAAACTTGGCTACTCAGAGATTTACAAATTGCAATCTGACAACTCAAATGTTTTCCTGCAGATACCGTTAGCAGGCGACCGCCGCTCCTACATGCTGCATCCTCTCTATTCTAAAGTTCTCCTCGAGTCTACTAATGTCATGGACCACATCATAACATTCAAAGGTGCTTTTCGCTCTCGTATTGACTTTGTTAAAACACAATTGTATTGCCAGTGACGTGTGACTAAGCGGTCGGGGGGATGGGAAACCACAGAGGTCAGCTCTTTTGGTGACCGTGTTTGTTTTGGTTTTTGTTGTCTTAGCTACGCTGATGGAGCGTGGACGCCATGCTGCCTACATCCTGCTGACGGGTCCGGTGATGGAGGGAGCTGAGGGCACCGTGGTCCTCAGCAAGCGGAAGCTGAAGCAGGACGTCCCTGACAGCAAAGTGCTCCGCTTTGGCACCGGCGGGAGCTCAGAGTCCAACGAGGACATCAAAGAGGCCTTCAACCGACTCCGCTTCAGCGATTGGTGAAAAGACCAACTGTAACATCTTAAAACCATTTTGACTTCCAAAAAAAAAAAAAAAGAAGTATGTATACTAGTTCTGACTTTCCAACTGCTGACCACCAAAGAAATTCCTTTGGGTTTAGTGAACTTTAGGACAGAGTTTTTCCATAATTTTTCCTTGGACAAACTGGGCATTATCTGTCTTCACTGCATATATACTATCAAAGGTTTATCCAGTGTCCAAAGAGCTACTGTTTGCTGACAATCACTCCGCACATATTGCTGTTCTCCTGCTGATGAATCCATCAAACTTGCCTTGCTGTGTTGTGTCTGGCACTTTCATGCATCAATGCAAAGTTGTTGTTTTTTTTTTTGTTTTAAATTGCAGATGCTGGATTATTATTTGAATCTATGCAAGTGTATTCCTGCCAGTGCTTTAAGGGTAGCAGACGCAGACCACTCCAGTGGCTACATCCTGAGTATTTGAAATCAAAGTCGCCTTAAAGAAACGGTTTCACTGTGATAGGGGTTAGTTTGGGTAGATTTGACACGTACTCATTGAAACTTGAAAAACAGCAGAAAGCCCATGAACCTTAAGGTAAACACTATGCGATGACATTCTTCGTTACGTATCCTGTTCATGATAGTATCAGTAAGGCAGTCTTGTCAATGGTACTGTACATGTCTGTTACTTACTCAATCCAAGATGTAACTTGTGATATTCTTCAGCGCACACTGACTAAACCTTCACTCAATGCTGAGTTTCAATGGTTCATATAATACTGAGTCATTGCTGTGGGTTTACAGCTCCTAGAAAGCAGTTTGTTTGTTTTTTTCTCAGTGATTTCTATTAGATAAATAAGTGAACATGAGGGTCTTGTTTTTTCTAAACATTAATATATTGAACCTGTGGAGCAGGCCTTTAATGGAGCTGACTTTTCTTTCTGACTTGTACTGAAATGTTTGAATTTGAGTTATATTAAACATTTTTAAAATAATGGCTTTGGGTTCAGAAATGTCTCCATGTAAGAGAAAACACAGTCAGACTTTGTTGGGCAACTTTCTGACTGTAGCAGATGAAGACACAGTCTCCTAGAATAGAAAATGAAGCCTCGAGCACATTTCTGTTCAGCCATTTACTGTGCAAACAGACAAACGTTTCAACACTGCTGTGTCTTCATCAGAGTCAGAGGCAAACTAAGAAGGAATATAAGCAGAAAACCCTGATTCTTCCAGAAGATGTAGGCCTCTTTGCAAAAGCAAACACTAATAAGAAATCAATAAAATCCTTTTAATTAATTTCATATAATTTATTAATATTATGCTGTAGATGGGCTGCAAGGTGGAGCAGTGGTTAGCACTGTTGCCTCGCAGCAAGAAGGTCACCGGTTTGCGTCCCGGTGAGGACACCCGGGATCTTTCTGTGTGGAGTTTGCATGTTCTCCCCATGCAGCGTGGGTTCTCTCCGGGTTCTCCGGCTTCCTCCCACAGTCCAAAAACATGTTGAGGTTAATTGGTGATTCTAAATTGTCCGTAGGTGTGAATGTGAGTGTGCTTGGTTGTCTGTCTCTAAGTGTAGCCCTGTGATAGACTGGTGACCTGTCCAGGGTGTCCCCTGCCTTCACCCTGAGTCAGCTGGGATAGACTCCAGCCCCCCATGACCCTAGTGAGTATTAAGAGGTGTATAGATAATGGATGGATGTGCTGTAGATTTAGGAAGAGGCTCAGAGTATTTTTTCTTGTGTTCACCACCAGGGGACATGAGGAAGAGAGCAGAATTTTGTATATTTAGTTGCAGGAAACACTCATTTTCAAAAACAAGTGGCAGAAACGTGAACAGTCAAAAGTTACACATTAAAAAAAATTAAATTTGAAAAGTTGCAAAAGTCAGCAAATGGTGGAATACTATAATGTTAGAAACAAAAAGTAAAAGAACAACTTTCTATTTACAAAAAAAACAATAATATTTTCCATTTTTCAACCCTAATTAACAAATTTATCGGTAACATATTTTTTTTAGGAAATACCATTTATAAAAATACAGATTTTTGATGTGGATGTTACAGTTTTGTCCTGTGTTTTTAAGGTTAAAATTGCAATTAATGCCTTTTTTCCCTCCAGTGATTTGACTTTTAACAGCCAAAAGTAAATTGTTAAAAAAAAACACTTAACAAAAATGTTCATCTGACAGTTAAGTACAATGTCAACAAATCAGCAGTATTCTGGCATTTCATTACATGTGCTGAAGAGAAGGTCGGCCAGTTAATTACAGCAGGGATTTTACTTAATATCAATTATTAAAATACTATATAATATAATATTTAACAAGGAATTAAAGTAGGCTCCAGCCTCCCCCGTGACCCTAGTGAGGATTAAGCGGTGTATAGATAATGGATTAATGGATGGATGGATGGATGGATGGATGGATGGAATTAAAGTGTGCTCTAATGTCATTCATTCTTGGTAAAGTGATTATTCAAGGCTTGTGTGATCAAGAACCCTAAAGAAGCCCTGCAGATAAATTCTGCTCATTTTTATGTTAGATGAACACATTTAATATGAAAGTCAATCTTTTAGTTTAGGTATCATAAGCTAAACATAAACCCTGTCTATTTTACACCTCATATTTACAGTCACCCTAATAATCCGGGAACCAAATCCGAATGGCATTTTGCTGCCCTCTGCTGCATGTGGACTCAGAGCGCAGCGGCCATGCGCAGTGCAGCCCCGTACAGTGAGATCCATGGATGTATGGAAGTCAGTCACGTATCACCGGGGCTGTACTGTACCGTTTACTCCCTAAATAATTACAGCGCGTGATTTGTTCGCCATGACGCACGCATTGCTGACGGGCTCCTTACCCTCACGCACAAACACTGGGAATGGAAAGTCTCTCCTTGTAGGGAAACGACCGGATCATTTATCCCGCCGCGGTACCTGCTGTCTCTTTTTAACGCGATCCCGCTACACGAGGAGGAAAAAAGGAAAAAAAAAAAAAGAGGCGAGACTGGAGGGGTGTGGAGGCGCGACGGGACTTGTGGGGGCGCACAAACGGCGGGACGCTGCTGGGTCACGATGGGGATAACGGAGGAGCGTGTTTGCATTTGGAGTACAGTGGGATGAATTTTAGCCAATATTGCAGCATTTTATTTACCATGGATTTCAAGTCCATGCTACAGAAGGAACACGCAGCTCCGCACTGAGAAAATGCCAAGTCACCAGTCTGCTGAAGCGCACACCAATAAACCGACCTGCTGTAATAAATGACCAGGGCTCTTCTTTTACCCTGTTGTACATTTGATACGTGTCATAAAGACACTGGCCGCTGCACTTACGCACGACCCCGCTGGTTCCTAGACAGTGCATTCCTGGTTCGGTCACCCCCTCACATGTTAGTGCTCCATGTCTACAAAAAGCGCAAAAACTGCTTTCCACCTGCAACCCAGCCACCTGAGCTACTTTAAACAGAACAAACACCTATTAATGATTAACAAAAAAGACTGAAGGGAAGAATGCTTCCGCCTTGAACATGTGCGCAGGGAACAGGACATTAAAACACTTGAAAATAAATAACAAATGCCACGATCCCCATGTGTCGCTTCATTTCACCCCGGGGAACCTTTCATTACGCCCTCATCACTTGGCAGCAGACCTGTGCCGGCAGCCTGCGAAGTGTCTGTCAGTTCAATGTGACCTGAGTCCGCCATACCCTTATGATAGGACTGCACGGCTGCAATATCTCCAAACCGGAGCGCACGCGTGAGGCGCGCACCGCTTATCAGAGGAACGACACACTTTCACCGTCCGGTGTAAAGTCACTTTGAGCTCGAGCCAAAGCCAGCGACAAAGGTAACGTTTACCGGCGGTTATTTTACTCCTTTTAAGCTATTTCTACTCAGACAGAGACCGGGAACATGTATTCTAACGGCGGTGAATGTATAATAAGATTTTTTTTGGAAAAAAAGGGGGATCTGCTGCTGCGTCCAAGGATTTCAGTTTCGCTTGTAGATTTGTTTTTATCCATTTTCAGAGTCATTAGAAACGAAATAATCGGATTGTTTAAATGCAATAACAATAGCATACCTGTTTATTGAATGAAAAGGAAACAGAAACTGGGCTCTATCACAAGGAAATGCCTGAAGTGGCCTGGTGGACGAGGCTGATCATGTCTGCCAATACCGTTTAACACATATATCCTACCTGCTTTGCGCATTTTTGGAGTAAAAAATACCCAATCGGGTGCTCTTTTGATAGTCGATTGCGTTCATAGGTCTATTTTATACCACAGATTGGCTCTGTTTAAGGACTATTTGATGGATTTGCAGGCTCAGCTCTCAGGTGTCGCATGCAGCACCCCTAAAATGTCCCCAAAATAATCCTCTGGCGAACCGCTCTCACTGCGCAAATTCAGAAATAGAAAATAATCCTTTCACTGCACCGGCAGAGCAATAAATGACATGTGCATTAAAATGGGGGTGTCTCTGTTGAGTCTGAGGAAATGAGCTATGGTAACTAGGTAACGGGAAAAGGCCTTTTGTTTTGCATCCTGTTACAGTCTGCATTGATGATTTTCTCCAGACAGAGGTGAAAATGGCTGAGGACATTCAAGCCAAACTTGAGAAATATCGCACTGCTCCCTTTGATGCCAGATTCCCCAACCAGAACCAGACCAGGAACTGCTGGTCCAACTACCTGGGTAAGAGCGCTGGTCAAGGTCAAAGCAGCTGACTGAACACTTTTCTAACTGTGGGTGAAAGATCCAAAGTGAGACATGTTGTGCTGTTCGTTATTAAAGTGTTCTAAGACATTGTAGGTCAAATTACAACTTTTGTTTACTGCTGTACTAACTGTCAAATGTTGCTAGAGCGTATTCAGGTCACCTGGGGTCTTTAAAGGTGTTGCCCACCCTCTGAGCTGGAGCTAATCCAATTTGACAGGTCACCGGCAGGCTATTTTTGATATTCATTGTTGCTGTTATTTTGTTCTCTATTTATAGACTACCACCGCTGTCAGAAAGCTCTGGATGCTAAAGGAGTAGACACAGCCCCCTGCGACTGGTACAAGAGGGTCTACAAATCACTCTGCCCCATGTCCTGGGTACATGTCTTTCATGTTACTTCAACTTTTTTTTTTTTTTTACACGAGACTTTGACAATCATGTTGAAGAAGAATTGCAGAATATACCACTCTCCTCTGTCAGGGGGATGAGTTTGTTTAGCAGGGGTCAAAGAACTTTTCTCGTTCCCAGCATTCCTGCGAGTCTCTGCTCAGTCCTCAGAATCAAAACATAGAAAGTACAAACTAACATTCCTCCCAATTAATCTCAGCAGAGTAAAAATACATGCAGGTACAACCTATATTGACTTCTTTATCTCTAAAAACTTTACTGTTCAACATCGTAAATCGTTACCACTTTCTCCCAAATGCTGCCTTGGGTTTAACTTTACACATTACAGGGCAACCCATGCAGTGTATTGTCCTCTGGTGTATGCAGAGTTTAATGGTAAATCCGCAGCAGTAGGACGTAAACCCCTGGAAAATATTTCTCAGTAGGCAGAAAGTCCTTTAGGTCACACCTCCATCAATAATGTCGCAAGAAAGTGTTTTTTTCATGTCATGCTGGCAGATTAATTATCATGTAAAATAAATATTTATGTCTCATGATACATTCGTCTCTGAAATCTTGTCCCTTTAGGTCCAGAAATGGGACGACCAGAGAGACGAAGGGACCTTCCCAGGAAAAATCTGAGGCCTCCAAAGCTCTTGGTCTGCAAAGATGTAACCTTTTCAGCTAAATGTTTGTAATGTTTGGTGCGAGGCTGAATGTCAGGCTCCTTTCTTCTGCTAACGCTCTGTCTTCAGAGCACACTGAAACTTAGTGGTCATTCCTTACAAATACCCTGAAATGTACAGCAGATTCTGCATTAAAGTATCTCAGGATATATTTATGGAGCTCAAGTGTCCCCTGGTTTGTTTTTTTCTTTTATGGCTTGACGAGTGTGGTATGCAGCGGTTGGCACTGTGGTCGCACAGTTCTGGGTCTGAACCTGTGTGTCGGCTGGGGGATTATTGAGTGGAGTGTGAATGTTGTCAGGTGCTTTCCACAGTGGAAAGACATGCACGGCAGGTTAATTAGTGATTCTTAATTGTCCTTAAGTGTGAGTGTGCATGGTTGTCTCTTTATGAAAGCCTTGTGATGGACTGGTGACCTGCCCAGGATACCCCAGGATACAATTTAACCTTCCGTGACCCTCTACTGGATAAACCAGGTACAACTGATAGACATGGTGTCCTGTTCATGCCACCAGAGAATATTAATAGATACTCTTTGTGTGAGATCATGCGGGGACGTGACAGTCTGAACATACAGACCTGTGGCACAGAGGGACAAGGACAGTTTTTATCTACAGCTCTCTCTACATACTTCATGTCTTCACGTTGGTCAATCTAAAAAAAACAAAACTCCAAAAGAACAAACGAGTTGACATGTTTCCACAAAACCGATTGAAGATAAATATTTTTAAATTTTATTCATTCAAATAAACCTACATCAAATATACATATTTAATCAAGATTAGAAAAATAATTAAATATTTCAAAACACTAAATGTCACGTGTACAATAATAGCCACCACCCCACAGATCAGAACTGTAACACGCAGTCATGACTATTGTTGCTGCTGGACATCCTGAAATTAAATACATAAAACTGCATTTCATATACAATTACTCCCAAGTGTAGGGAGTATGAAATAGTTTATATCAGGGGGCTCAATGAAGCAGTAAAAACTCCTCCAGACAAAAGTATTTAGGATAAGAACAGCTAATGCTGAGGACACTGTCCCATGCAACAAGTGAGTACAGTAAATATCGAATGAAAGAAAAGTACAACACCAACTACCAAGTACTATAGTGAAGGTAGAACCATATTTATCCCTTTTGAAATACCATTCGTCTCAGTTTGAGGTAAGTTTAAAGTATTTGCATATTAGAAGTTGCCTGTTATCTACTCAAAATCTAAAGTGGAAAGTGTTTCCTATTTTTCAACCAAATTACTCAAACTGCTCAAGAAAACGTTTGCCTCCAGAAATCTACCTCAGGAACAAAACAACTTCAATAAAAGGTCACTTGGATTGCAAACGAGCTTTTCTGACCTGATGCTAAGCTGAAAACACGTACTGACTTAATTTTGCGAAGCCAAATAGATGTTTGTCAACGTACTGCGGAGTTTTGTTCGGTTCTTATTTTCAGTTGAAATGTACAAAAATCTGTACTTTTTAATTATCGCAATAGCCGTTGATATAAACGTTCTGAGGGTAAAAACCTCTCTGAAAGTACTCCCCCCGCCCCCCTGCCCCCCTAAGGAAAACCATTAGACTTTGAAATATATTAGCCAACGGATATAAATAATGAATATATAGAAATTAGTGGCTGCATAGCATAGCGATCGGTTGGTGCACTGGTGGGAGTGTTAGTCAGTTTTCAGTAGGCCAAGAGCTGATCTTCCAGGCTCATCGGTGATAAATTCATTTACAAACGTTGCATCGACCACATCCTGACGTGAGAGTGTGTTCAAGTGGCCGTGGAGCTTCTTTTTTTTTTTTTTTCTCCTCCTTTTTTCTTTTGAGTATTTACACGCCACAAGCAGCATTAGAATATGCAGCACGAAAGTCACAAGTAGCAGCCACAGATATAGTGTGTAGTACTAGGCACAATAAAAGGGCTGATAAAAAATGCAGCCTTGCAGGTTTTTCTCCTGGCACTGTGAGAGGGGACGACCAGAGCAGCTGTACGGTACACGTTGAAGAAAACATGTATCTGCGGGTGTGTTTTCACAGCTAAGGAAGGGGGGTATAATCCAACCATAAAGTGGAATCCTGCGGGTTTATGTTTGTGTTTGTGTCCGGTGTACGAGCTCCATCCTCCCCAGAGTGAACCATGTGAACCACAGACACGACGTCATTACAAATCATGGCTGCTTTGGGACTCATTGTGAAGGAGGTTTTCACACCGAGAAGTGGAAGGAAACAATCGGCCGAAGGATCCCTCCGTTAGTTCTGCTCTCTTTTTTTATAAACATTGAATCCGTGTCTGTCAGTTCGTCAGTCAGTACCTCCTCTTTCCATGTTTCCCACCGTCGGTCATGCAGGTTTTAGGCCGCAGAGCTAAATCGAGGGGAAACAGATAAAAGTTAATATTTCCAAACTAGTGAAAAAAGCACATTGTAATAATTCGTCTCATTGTTTCTTTGGATCACCTGGATCTGCTGTCTGCTTCTTCTTGTTGTGATGAACTATCTGATTCTCATTGGTCATCTTCACATCCTGATCCTCCACATAATTACTGCAACACAGCAAGAACAGGAAGAAACAGCAGCTGTAAGTAAATCTGTAGCGCCTGTTGTAAACTGGAAAAAGGGAACAAGACACAAAATGGAGAGCCGATAAAGCTCAAAGCCACTAGGTCCTAGCCTTAAGGCCCAAAAATAGAGCTGGAGAGATAACGAAGAGAAAAGGAAAGAGGAGGGAGCGGGGGAGTCACAAGTCAAATGTGTGGTAAGGAGGGTGTGGGATGGCTGAGGGACATTTCAGGGCACTGGAGGAATCTTCAATACAGGGTTTGACCACAGGGAGGTGCTGACACGAGGCTTTCAGGGCTCTGTTACTCACTGTTGGTGGTGTCTGCTGCCACGAGGGCTGAAGTGGAGAAGAGTACAACTCTGTTCAAAACAACTGGGGCAGTGAGGTTTCACCTAAAGCACTTTGTCAGTCAGTCCATCTGTCTACACCGGAGTGTCAATAATTCCGTTTCACATGCAAGTTCTCTGTCTAAAAGCGTTTAACACCTAATTTTATAGATAACTCAAACCAGAAAGACTATGTGCATTTGGCCATGCAAGCAAGCAGCCATGCAACGCTAACTGTTAAAAAGCCGAGGTACCTAATGACGGTGTTCCTCTCACGATGCGCTATGTAGACATTGTCTGTGAACAGGATGGTGTGGTAGGGCACCGCTGGGTCACAGGTCGGCAGGATGCCTCTTGCCACGTGGCTCACGCTGTCCAAAATGCCGTTATACACCAGGAGGTCATCCACCAGCAGCTGTACACACACAGAGAGACGTGCAGCTTGAGATCCACATGAAAAACCAAGAGTGACTGCCAAACTCACAGCAGACAAAGATGAGCTTACTCCAAACTCTTTCACTCCTCTCTGAGATGTCTTTGAATAGTTCCACAACTTGATCATTGAAACGGTCACTGGCTGATCAAAGATGACGTACACGCGGTTCACCTGCATGAAAAGAAGCAAAACGCTCAGCTCCACTGCAAACTTTGATCTGGTAACTTGTGGCCACTCGTTCTTTCTCTCTCACACCCACCAGTCCAGGTAGCACCGGCGCTAACCACATGTGTCTTCCATCGTGGGTACTGTTGACGCCGTCTATTAATTTATCTGGAGTCCTCACATCACCACTCACGTTATCCAGCACATTAACACTGTCTGGAAAAGCGGCAATGTCTGGTAGACAGAATGTTGAGGACTGACGAGAACAGATGTTTTTAATAAATTAATTACAACAGCCGCTATTCATTTACCAATCATTTCATTAGTTCACTATGTGCATCTTTCTTCTGAATTTCACGAGGACAGGAATGGTTTTGTAGCAGTTACAGAAACTTTTTTCTCATGAAGATATTCTGGAGCAGTGTTGTGCACAGGTCCAGTTCTGCAAACCTGCAAAGCTTTTTACCGGAACCGACCTGCTGTCTGCAAAATATCTCCAAGTTAAATCTTGTCTGAGCCTGCTAATATAAACGTGACCCAATCTGTGATTTGACACATTAAAAGTGCTTCATTAACCTGCACGCCTGGAGCATGTAGAAACACAAACTCCAATTTGAGCTTGTTTGGCAGAATCAATCACCAATTATGTTGCTACTAACTATGCTGACATTTAATAGCCGTGCAGACAAAAAATTATCGCCCACAGTCACTGTTTTAAGTTGGGCTTTACGCTCTTGAAGCACAAGTCCAGGAGAGGAAATGTGTCTTTTACTTGCTGCGCTCATTGCCGAGCACATTCTGCTCAATCAGTGCCAGGTGAGGAAACATTTTAGCAAGGCTGTGTCGTAGTGCTTCATAAGAAAAATAAAAAATAAAATAAATCCTGGCAGTTGATTTGGCTTGAAAATATTGCTTGATTTAAGTGTTAAAACTACTTCAGTGCACAAATATTTTAATGTCTGATTTCTTCAGATTTAAAGAAAAATGTTAACACTGCTACCCTGTTTTCTGATGTAAACATTTTGAGTTGTAATAGCAGGACATACACACATTTAACTAACAACACGGATTATGAGTTTCATTAAGTATAAATTGAGAATATGATTTTACTGTGCACTTTTGCAAAATGGTGGACTCATCATTATAGCATCTCCATTTGGTAAGTGGTATCAGGGTAAAGTGTAAAAGAAAAATAATAATAATTTGTGATTTTATCATTTACTAATCGAACCAAACAGATTCACAATGCAAATTCTTAACTGAGCAAACAGCTGACTACGTAAAAAGTAAAATATCACATATTCCAGTAAGTGAAGAGAGCTCAGGTTAGTGAGGACAGACACGTGAAGCATGACTGACTGATAGAAAAAGGATACTGTTGTCGCTCAGACTGATCTTCTCGTGGTTCTGGTTGTAAAATTCGAGGCCGTTGAGGCCGATGTAGTACGGGTCTCCCCAGGTTGTTAACAGCTGCAGCTGAAAGATGACTGACAGGTGAAGGTTAAGGAATAAACAATACAGAGTTTTTTATATCACATGTCACATAACACACAAGAGTTTCCATTTTCCAGTAAGTCATGATGTTATAAAATCTCACGCCAGCTTTCCAAATGAAGAGAAAAGAAAAATTGTTGGATACCTCTGGCCACTACAATTCAACATAACAGCTCAGCGCTAAACTTTACTGCATAAAGTTGATAATTAAGGTCTAATTGTGGTCACAGCCTGACTGTACATCCCCTCTATGGAAGGTGGTTTGTTGTAGGAAATGAGACTTTCTTGACTTGTCACGAGTATCAGCACGTTACTGCAGTCACAGAAAATTGTTGCTTTTTGAGAAAATGTAGTTACTGTCGTCAGCCACAGTATGTCGCAATGAGAATAGTAGTAACTCAGCGTCTGCGTGTTGTGGTGAAAAAGAGAAAAACACACAGCAGAGTTTTGTGAAATGTTACTTATCATGAATAAATATTGGCAGCATAAACAGAGAGATAAATAACTGCTACTTTATTTTAACAACTGCTACTTTATTTTATTTTTAGTCCGATTCCGTCCTTGTAAAGCATGTTGGCGGCACATACAGAATCAACCAAATCTGTCACTGTTGTTGCTTGGTATTCAAAAGCCTTTTGCACTACTGCTTAATATCAGTATGCACTGAAATGAAATAGATTAATCTATGTCCCTTCCAGCCTGTTGTTTTGATTCCGTATTTTAGAAACCTGTCAGTGAGCATGTGCGTGCTCATGTTGTTACCAAAGCAACTGATGCCAATAATTTGATGTTTACTGACCTCAAATCTGATCCGTCTATGTGCAATTATTCAAACATTACTTTTTCACTAATAACGCAGTCAGGAGCAATACACACTGCTGTCAGAATCACATGTCTATGAAAGGATACATCCACAAGGCATGATGGGAGCTTCATAGTCCATGCTGGCATGTTCTTGTTTCTTAGAGCTTCCCCTGAATTCCAAACAACAAAATTATAAATTAGCAAATGCAATAATTAAATCCTTTCATGAGACAGCAGTTTATGTAGTAATTCAAACTCTGGTTTCTACCTGTGGTAGTCTTCATTACTCTTGTTATCTGTGGGCGTCTGGAGGAAGTCCACAAAGAGGATCTCCTGAGCAAAGTCAAAGTGACAATTGCCAGGTCCTTTCCTAATCAGGAATCCTTCCGTTGGGGAGATGGCAACATCGTCCATGAACAAATGGATCACTTTCACCTGAACCAAACATGTACAGATTTGTACATTTTATATGATGTACACAGATGGTAATGTAAAAACTAACAACAACTAATCCATGCCTCATATACAAGCATCATCATGTGAACTGTGTATTGTATAAGTATGTTTTTGAGCTTTTGGTGTTCATTTATACACATGAGAATACGTTTTTTTTATATTTGAATTATATTTTGGTCTTTTGATTCCAATGCTTATCTGCCCCAAAACACCTACTGAGCTCTGGCTTCACCTAAAAGAACCAACACTCTAATGAACTTCATTATAGGTTGTTGTTTCACAAAATATTATGTACAGTATTACATCATACATACATTTTATTATTATTGTTTTAAGGAAATTTTACTCCCTTGTAACGAGTGCACCATTATGAGAAATGTGGTTTTGAGCCCTGTGGAATAGTATCTCACCCCTCTGTAAGAGTCCTCAGGAGACTTATTGTAGTTCCAGATGCGAAGACCAGCGATAGTTTGGGTCTTGCTGAAGGAAATGTTCAAGATGTGGGGCTCTCCATAGGAGAAAGGAATCAGCCACATGTGCTGGTCATCAGTGGTGATGTTATGGCCGTCAATAAGTCTGCGTGAAGAGAACAGACACTGAAGACAGCACCAGTCACAGTATTGATCTGATCTAAGTCTGGATTTGGATTGTGACATCAGAGGGAAAATTACATTTAGCGTCAGACATACTTATCAAGTGTACGCAGGTCATGTCCGTATTCAGGCAGGTCGTTGAGGTCCCTGGGTGAAGCAGTTATCATACTGAGGTCTAAAGGTAAACTCTCTCCATCCTTCCCCACCACCTCCACTCCTGTCAGGCCCATGTAATGGGAGTCACCCCAAGTCAAGACCAGTTCCAGTCTAAGGCCTGAGATGGAAGGAGACAGTTACTGCAGTATCCAAACGTATCCAAAACATGAAGCAAAAAGAAAAGCAGACATGCGATGAGAAGGCATGATTAATGTACTCACACTTTCCAGTGTACATCCCAGGAATAAGGTCCAAATTCTCCTCAGATTGGCTCACGGTAGGGTTGAGTTGAAGTTTCAACTAAGAAGACATAAGGCACATTTAAAGCACAATTGTAAGACTCTGTGCTGCTGATGGTGTAGCAAATTTAGACTTGATACCCATTATTTGAGTTTGACATGAAGTTCAGAAAACACAGAAAAAACTTCAATAAAAACCTGTACTTAGTGCTGATGTGGCCTGTACTTACAGTCAGGTCTTCCTCTCTGAAACCAGCCTGTGTGAAAGGTCTTTCCTCTCCCTCTCCATCAGCAGTGCGTGGCCTCTGCAGTTCCTCCTCATACACCAAACTCTCAGGACCTTCACCTTCACTAAGGAAGGTTTCATCATAGCGAGACATGGCCTCCAGGATTTCATCATCAGTGGTGAACAGGATAGTGTCCCCAAACTGGTCCAGTCCTGAAGTGACAGAAGATTAGGTTATACTGAAAACAAAAGTAATGCAGAACAGAAAACAAAAAACTTGTGAGGCTGTTTTGGTGAAATACCTCCAGAAAGGGTCCCAGAGGCCTTGGCAATCTCTCCCCTAAAGATGCATCTTCCATCCAGCATCATTTCCACTTCTTTTACACCTCGGAATGAGTGGATGCGTGACTTGTTGTAGTTCCAAACACGGATCATGGCCACCTGGCAGGGAGCGCCGAAGTCCAAGAAGATGGTGTGACTTCGACCAGGGGTGAACGGGGCTAGCCAAAGATGCATGTCATCCTGAGTGCGATTAACGCCATCGATCAGGTTGGTGACCACACGTGGATCCTTGCCGTAAGCTGGGAGAATGTTGATGTCTGGTGGGTCAGCACGGATATGAGCAGGTCGAAGAGGCTCTCCACTAGAGCTGAACACTTCCAGGCCGTTGAGGCCCACATAGTGACGATCACCCCATGTAGACACAATGTTGATTACCAGCCTTTGGCCCTGCGGCAGCACCGGGATCTCAAACTCGTCCTCCCGCTCCACTGATGGATCATCATCAGCACCTTCACACAGCGTCCCCTGAGTGTTCAAGGAGGACAGTGGGCTCCTGGGTGCTGTGGAGGGGTTGACTGGGACTGTGGGTGGACCACGGACCTGCCGCTGAAGGAACTCATCAAAGATGTCTCCTTCGAAGCCCATGTTGGAGATGCGTCCACGCTGACACTGGTTGAACTTAGTGAGAGAGTCCCAGGACTCCATGAGGGTGTCATCCTGCTGGCTGTGCAGCTGGGCTCGAGAGCTGGACTGCCTCCTGCTAGTGTTCACCAAAGACATCGGCTCCTCTGGAGAATACACAAACATTAGAATATGAAGTACTAACATAGCCCGAAACAGTATCCTTTCATGATTGCAATTGCCTCTACATTTATCACCAAACATGGAATACAAGACAAAAAATACATTTGTATGTACGACAGTAAATATCTTACCTAATGTTACTTAAGGAGACATAAATGAACCCATTTCAAATAAAACTGTACATTTAATTTTTTTTGGATCTGTGACCTGTCTGTTGGATCAAGACAGAGTAATGAAAAGGCAGTTAGCTTTCTAAGATTTTACTCTACCCCTTTTTACAGCCTTATTTAAATACTGAAACGCATAGCAAAATGACAAATTCTCTTCTTCAAATGTCACAGAAATATTTTTTGATCTCACCGATGAACAATTAGAGTGACAAAACTTAATCAATCCCAGAAGGTCTTTAAGGCGAAAGAAAGGATTCTAGTTCTAGTTTTATTCTTTAATAAATCCAACGACAGGCATCAAACAACGCGACAGCTTCCTTTTATTAACACAAGCTCGTGTGATGACTGTCTTAAAACAAACACATTTAAAAAGTAGGGCGAACAAACCAAATTTAGATTCACCCTCAGTGTCACATTCTCCAAAATGCATTGCGTGTATCTTTGTATTTTTAATGAATGAACTTCCTTCCTCATAACACTTGCATGAGCCATCCTATGATGTGTCCAAAACCACACGACCCACAAGACTGTACTGCACTGCAGTTGAACAAACAGCAATAGACATGAGAAGCCTCAAACTATTGGAAATATGTAAGAAGAATTCAACTACAGTGACTGTTTAGTCTGTCTTCTTCATTCCTTCTTTGAGGATTACTGATAAAGATTAAGAATAGATGTATTGTAAATTTCATAGATTATAATATTACATTTGGAGGCGTGCTAGCCTGTGAACAGCCTGATCTTTCTTATGTGAAAGAGTCAGAGTAAATTCACCACATATAGAGGCATTTCATTCTGTTGCATAACATTGGGAGGAAGTAGCAGTCCCTACCGGTGTTTGTCAGCGCTGTAGCTCTGAGGTGTTGTTCCTCCGTCTGCCTGCCAGAGGCTGCAGAGTTTCTAAATGAGCTCCTGCGTCCACTGATGGGCCTGTCTGGCTTTTGCTCCCCGAGCTCCTCCAGCAGGTCACAGCTCAGGTCTAAAGAGTCAGCCTTCCACTGAACTCCATTTGTCGTCCTCTCCCCTCCTCTGCACACCCTGGCTGGGTTACATGGCAGCTCTGGGAGCATAGAAGATGATGAGGATGATGGAGGTTTGGGCTCTGCAGAGTGCTGAGGTACCAGCCACCGGGGCCTCTCCCTGCTGGACTCGCAGCCCTCTGGAGCGCCTCTGTTCAGGGGCTGCAGCCACTGAGGTGCAACCCGTGAAGAGGCTGGCTGCGTGGTGACTGTATGCTCCATGGGTGCCGGCTGCTCCACCTGCTGCCTGAGGGAGTGGGGCTCTTCTGAGGCAGACAGGTCAAATGAATTTCTTTGCGTAGACGAGCGGCGGATGGAGGATGAAGCACCCACTGAAGGAGTGATGGGTGGTAGAGGTGTATGCGATTTCTCCTGCATGTCTACCATACTCTGGCTTGTTGTGTCTGACAGGGTATTTGAACTCTGGAATCGCTGGGTGCTGCTGCTGCCCTCTCCACGCTTCCTGTCCTCATAGCGATGGGGGCTGACACCCCGCAGGTTGTGTCCTGAAGACACAGGGCTGGAAAACACAGAGTCTGAGGGCTGGAAATCCTGGAGGTCAATGGTGGTGCTGTAGTCAAAGACTTGGTTGCCACAGCCCTTCTCCAGCTCACCTTCAAACACCAATGTGCTGTTAAGATACAGCTTTATATGGCGTGCACCTATGTCAAGCTCCTGTAAAATAAACAGAGGTTCAGCTTATTTAGCGCCCTAAACTTACAGTGATATTTAACAGTTTGATAAGACTTAGAGCACCAGTTTATGTCACAAAAATAATAAGGTTTTGACATTTGAAATTTACACAAAGTTTCAAACAAGATTAGACATAAAATCAATCAAAAAACTCGAAGGGCTAAACTGCATTACAGGAACATGTTAACAAAATATAGTTTTGCATAGAGAACAAAACATATATTTTAATTCAAGCAAAGCATAAGGTGCAGTAAACTACATTTGGGAAATTCCCTTAACATACATAATTGAATAATTTCCTTATGTCTTGCAAGAGCTCTCCAAGCTAGCAGTAATTAGTGCTATCACAGATAACAAGTCAAATCTGCTCAAGCCTCCAGGCAGTAAACCACTATAAACCCAGTTTAGCCTGGAACCTACATCCTAACAACAGCTCGTTCCTTACCTTACAAGTTAAACGTCTTATTCATCCTCAGATATAAACACCAAGTCATTGCTGACGGCTGTGGTAAACTACAAAAGATACGATGGGGTCTTTGTACCCCTCCATGAACAACAGCGAAGCTGAGAGGCAGAAGCGCACGTTGTGCTAATCCTCTGGGGCTAATCTCTCACTGTTCCACATTTGGACAGAGTGACTGGTAGCTCAGCCAACCACTGCTTAAAGATAACCACACCCCTGACGTAACCACACCAATACAGTCACCCACTATTATGACAACGCACAAGCACATAAGATCCATCAGTGGGCCGCAGACAGCACAATGAATAATCTCTGAACTCTAGGGATTAATCAAAGCGTGTGAACAGATCGCACCTGTGTTGAGCAAATGCTATTTCACATTTAGACTTCTTAGTAGTGACAAACAGAAAACATAAAAAGCACATACGTTGAGGCTTCTGTTGTAATTCCAGATTTTGATGCATGATATTCCAAAGTCTGGGGAGCGCTCTGTGTTTCTGATGATGAAGTAAAGCTGGATGGGAGGGTGGAATGGGCACGTCCACATGTGACGCTCTTTGGTGGTCTGCGAATCCAAGAGAACAGCATTATCAGAAAATATTTAGTCCTTGGAAGAAAAGATATGAATTCACAAATGTCAAGAACAAATGTTTATCTAACAGGCCTTACACACCACAGTAAGGTACAAAAGCACGTGTAAATTACTAACATTAATGACAGTGCATACTGTTTAGGGGTTTCAGCTTCACGGTTTTGTTAGTGTGCATACGTGTTCGCTGTCATGACTTACCGCACTTTAAAGAAACTGTAAGTTAACTGAATTATTAAATTTTATTTCACAAATGTTTCTGTATTTTTGAAATACAATAAAGTGTTAATAAAATGGGAAACAAATACAGAAAAAAATTGCAAAAACCTGTAACTGTGGAAAACAAATAAATGACAAATAGATCATAAATCATTAATATTTCCCTTTAAATGAATAGATGTAAGATACAGGTTTAATACTGTAAATATATTTTTAATAAGAAATATAATTACTGATAGTTAACAGGAAAAGAAGAACTGGGGCTGCAATTTTACAGCGATTTGTTTGTTAAATTAGAAATCTTGTAAGATCACAAAAGTTGTCAAAACTAAAATGCTGAATTCATGTGTTTTCAATAACCCATAAGATCAATAAGAAGACAAAATACAGTTTTTATTTTTAATGAGAACAGTGGCAATTACCTCAGCAGCTTCACCAATGTTGTAGATGGCTAAGGTTTATTTTTGCAGTGTTCAACCAGTGTTATAGTATTTAAGCATGTTTATGGGTAATTTCATAGTTTCTACACATATAAATATCCTTCAGTAAACATTAAAAAATCCCCACAACACAAATGATCTTAAAAAAAAAAAAAAAAGGCTCAGTAATTGCATTTCATTGATGGTGTTTTTATGAAATGGTGATTCATAAATATTTTTCTCACGCTCCACCTCCAGAATAATAAAGTGTTTTTGTGTGTGTGGAACACTAATGCTATTAGCTACACATGTGCTTGTCCTGCTCTTACAAGTCAAAACACCTTCCATGACAAAAAATTGCAAATGTGATGAAATCTAAAAGAAATGCTAAAAAAAATAAATATGCAGTTGATATATATTTAATATATTTTACTGTATAATTTCAGATTTATTTTGTGCAGCAGAAATCATTTAAATAGGATGCTGAGGCAGCAGAAACCCACCTTCACCTTTCCGTTGACGAGTGCCCCCAGATTCCCGGGGTAGTCAGCATTCCTGATGTCTAAGTCGTGAGGCGACACATACAACTTCTTGTTTCTGAGGCAGAAGAACTGCAACTCAGTCAGCCCAACATGCAAAGTGCTCCCCCAGTTTGACAGGATCTCCATGGTAACATACAGTGCAGGGGTGACCTCTGCTGAGGACTGCCTTCTCTGCAACAGCAACACAAAACATTTGCAAGTATCACACCCAGCAGTATCGGTCTTATTCGGTCTGATCTGCGAGACGGTGTCACAGACTCACCAGCTGCTTGCTGTAGTCTGTTTTGACACTCTGAGGAATGTGGTAGCTGGGTCCAGCATCAAGTTTCTCCAACGCTTTCAGCAATTTCTGTTGTTGCCTGAACAGAAGGATGACATTCTCAGCTCATCTGCGCTGTCTGCTCTCCCTGACCTTCGTAATCGTGGTGAGCAATGGCTCCGCACTGTGATAGCTACACCAATAAATAATTCTTCAAGGTCACGGGTGTACACATCATGCATTTCCATTATCGGTTTCAAACACAATTAGGTGCACTCTAACACTGAAGCATGTACAGTATTACAACAGGCACCAGGTATCATTCTATCACTCATTAGACAAATTGTATGTGTGTTTAAGGGTCATTGTATGTCAGCATACGTGAGGCCCATGAGCGTGATTCTCTGCATGGCCAGAGAGACATTGTTGTCATCCTTGTCATGGGTGTTGTGGGTTACTAAGCCATTCATCATCTGGTGTCCCCTGGCCTGGATAAAAAGGAAACAAAATGAAAGAGTCAGATAAATAAGCTTTTGGTACAAGGTTCATGTGTGAGCCAAACCCATAAAAACATCAAGACAGTCCAGCTGCAGGGCTCCAATGTGAGCACAGGAAATGCCACAAACATTTAAGTGATTTTGACATTAACCGATTTTTATTGTCTTATTAAATGTAGCAAAGTCAAGTGACTGATGTGTGATCAGTTTAGCAACATAATGCTCTGTTATTTTAATGTAGCTCCATTGATTTATTCTGTGAATGTAGCACAGTGATCGGCTGTTGGAACAGTCCACAGTCATAACTTAGCCGGAAGCCTTCACTTTTGCAGTGTCTAACAAACTGTGACTCACTGTGATCAAGGACATTTAAAATCAGTTAGCTTAACTATGTATAGATAAAAACTGAACAAACTTTAAAGAACCTTTAGGCCTGCTGTATCTCAACTACATACAAGTAAATGCAGAGGTTACAAAGTGCAGCAATGGCTAGTTACAACAACATATCCTCCATACTAACGGCCCCTGAATAAAAACACAGACACATAATAAGCAAAAGACCTGCTGCCCTCGGTTTAAAGAGTAAACAATAACTGTCCTGGCAATCATGGACATGAATACATCCCAAAAACAAAATGAACTACCGCTGTAAGAATAAACTCCCAGTATATTATTCTTTTTTTTTTTTTCTCCAAATATTGCTAGTTTTTTTTTTTTGTTTGTTTGTTTTTTTTAACAGGACTCACAAAGTCCGTCTTTGTAATACAACAGTGTAGACATACTATTTGTGGTTCCCATGGTACTGAAAATACAGTCTGTGTTAACAGCAGCAACAACTAGCACATAGGTATAATGACTCCCAGTGGTTCTGTGTCACACATCTAATGGTATAAACAGCTGATTAGCTGTGCAGAAGTAAAAGTCAAATCTACCATAAAACCTAATGAGCGAGCACTAAACACATTAGCATACCTTGCACACAACAGAGAGCCTCACTAAATGTGTAACATTCAGTAAGGTCTACATACATTTACACAAACTGATGCCGATGGCTATTTTAACATAGAACTAATTACGCAGTGTGAGGCTGTCTGAGATAATACAGTTTAGCTGCTTCCCATTGTCAGAATGTGTGGTAACTTTGGAAACATCCGCAAGTCTTATTTTCTGTCCTCACAGTGGAGGTCTGCAGCCAGAACCCTCTCAAAAGTATCTACAGATGGACAGCAGAAAGAGATATCGAGGCATAATAGTATAGGTGCTCTGGATTACCTTTAAAACAGCTGCCAACAATGAAGAAACATGTTTTACTTTTTGTAACTAGTGGCCTAAGTTAACTAAAAAAGTCTAGTGTGGGTCAAACAGACCATGTTGCGGTTGAAGAACTCAGCAGTCTGCACAGGGTCATTTTCTCTCTGTATGGCCTGGCGCACCCTGCACGCAACCTCCTCTGGGTCTCGCTCCTCAACAGAAGCCTTTCTGGTTGCTGACAGGGGTCTCTCCACCCGACTCCTCGGCCCTAAAGCAAATAGCACATGTTTTTTTAAGCTACAACAATGCATCCACCCAACCTTTACAGACACATTTCTCCAACAGTTTAATCATTTTTAAATGTAAACAGTGAGCATCCAGTGCATTTTTAAAAAGGTGAAAGACTTACTCTGACCATCCCGGCTCTCTTTTGAAGGCGGTCTATCTAATGTTTTGCTCCTCACCAACATAGGCTTGGTAGGTATAAAGCTGTCAATGCTTTCTTTCCTTTTTGCAGAGAGAGAACGTTCAATCTTACGACCTGGATAGTGGAGAAAATTATGTCCCATCAGGATTCGATGCATCTATTCATCTGCATCCCACATGTTGACAGACCCAGGATGTGTGGCCTGCTTATGTCAGTGCTGATGAGGCAGATAAGGAGGAAATGGAACCAGTCTTGACTCACCCTAAAGATCAATAAATTTACATATGAGCCTACCTTTAGGTGAGGGTCCAAAATCCAGGACAATGAGGTTTGCTGAGTCGAAATGGCTATTGGTGCCGCTGGGCCGAGAGTTGGAAGAGGACTTGGAGGAGGGGAGAGGCAGCCCCAGTTCATCCAGACTCTCAGTGCTCTCCTCCCTCTCAATCTGCTCCTCTATCCACTCCTCATCCGACTCCTCCCCTGCCGAGTCGCGGCTGCTGCGTCGCATGCTAACCTCCAGGCTCCGACGCAAAACCTGGTTTACAAAGGTCAGCATTTATGTACGCATCCATGCACACAGCCATCAGTCTAAGCAGTCAGCGGCGCAAACAGACACACAAGTCTGCTGACAGTTTGAGCATTCCCTTGATTTGTGTGACTGCCACAGAGAACTGTCATAAATTAACCCCTAGAAGTGTGAACTAATTTATAGCATTCACTATATCTCATGCCACCTTGGTCGGATAGCGTGAAAAAAAAAATGCATACGTTTGTTTTATCTGCTCACCTTCACTTCCTCGAGGTTGAGGAGAACCTTCTCGCTGTGCTCCTGGTTTGCTTGGCCTCCCTGGCTCTCAGGCCTGGAGCTGAAGGAGCGTGACACCTTGCAGGGGTCCCTCGAGCAGCAAGGACTTCGAGGTGAGCGTGGACTGGAGCTCTGCAGGGAACATGATGATTAAGTAAAGGGGAAATGGCAGAGAAAGAGAGATGCTAAGTGGTACAGACAGCTGCATCTGACACATAGCCCCTCCCCTAAAAATAAAAACACCCACACACAGGCTTAGTAGGCATTGTTATGTCTTCACTGTACCTCCATGCCTACACTTTCATAGGGCTCAAAATCCTCAGAGTAGCGCTTCTGCGGGGATATCTGCAAACTTGATCCATCCTTTGTTCGAATTTTAACAGGACCCTGCGCACATTACAAAAGAGGAAAATGCTAATACGTGCACTTTAATAGGAATATAGTGATTTTTGATGCAAAAATCAAAAGTTGAAAATATTAGATCAAAAAATTAAAGGTCTGTACCTTCACCCATTCTTTCCTCTGGACCTTTCCTGGGGCGGTTTGGCTCCTCTTCTTCTGATTCTGCTCCAGATTACAACTATCTTCAGTTAACTGGTGGGCGCTTCGACAGACATCTGCCGATGAGTCACAGCACAGAAAGGAACATGAGCAGCGTGCAGCAGACTATTGCCTCAGAGGAGAAGGAACACACAGTCGCATACGCAGATGGTCCACAGCACATAGAGGAAGAACAGAAAAACAGGCTGCCAGCTACAACTGTCACTATCATTTATTCACTGGGACTGGGCATGGGATCATGCCATGCAAACTACAAGCCGAGAAGTGGTGGCTATTAGCTGGTGTTCCATATGGTCTGAGGATGACAGAAGCAGCGAGAACTAGGGTAAAGATGGTTCCTCTGATTTCTGCATAAACATGACTGAATACTCATAAACAATATTTCATCCTGCACAACAAAGGTTAAAAATAATGAGGGTGTCACATAGTTTTGCATGTGGGTTTAAATGAGTGCAGTAGCAGCAGCAGCAGCATACCTGCTGTACGTGTAGGCCTCCAACCAGGTGGGGAGGAGACAGACTTGCGGTTGGAGCCCCTGGGCTGCTTTCTACTGGCTTCAGCATTGGCTCCGTTGAGATAAATTGAAAAACCTTGCTCAAGCTGTTCCAACTCAATCTCCCTGGAGTCTTTGACTTTAAGGCGCTTTAAGATCCTAAAGAGCAAAGACAAGCGATAACAACTCTTGAAAATATCATCAAAATTGAACAAATTCTGTTTAGCATGGCTGAGAAAGGATTTAGGACTTAGAAAAGAACATCACACATTCTCAAGCTATTCCAACCTTCACGCTTCGACCTTTCGGGCACAAATTTCTTGTCTCTCAAAGGAAGGAACCAAACCAATCAGTGCTCCTATTAGGCAGCACTGAAAGTCATGGAGGAGTTGTGTATCTCCCCTGTGAAATCCAATCTGTCTCTCCCCAGCAGCCTGTGCTCACACTTCACCTGTTTTTGTGCTGGAGGGCGATTAAATATTCATCCAGAGTGTCATCTACAGCAGAAGCAAGCTTCTCTCCTTGGCACGTCTTGTTCTCCTTCAAGAAGACACGCATCAGTAAACACACACACACATATACACACACTGTGAAGAGTCAGAAAAGCTTGCATCAGCTGTTTGTGGAAAACAAACGGTCATAATATACCTCATTCTTGCACAGGTATTCACATTCACAAACAATCAATATCCATTTTATTCTGTGCATCACAACATTTATGCAAGCAGTTTGCTCCTCCGCTCTCGCGTAAATAAACCTTCACTACGGGGCATATATTATGTCAAGTTGTTATTTTAAGGCACATGACATTTAGGCCCAAAACTATTAATCTAACATGCTGTTCGGTAGCGTCTTTCGTGCCAAATGTGCCCGTTCAACCACCTCATTATACAAGGATGATATCAAATCAAAACACACTTAGTCAGTGTCAGATCTCACGTTAAATATGTCATGTAAAAACAAAAAAGGGGGAGCGTTGTCCTGTAAAAAACTAATTATCTGTAAAACACTGCTGCGTCGTGGGGCAACAGATCACATGCTTGTCAAACTCTGCTGAATAGGGCTGAACAAAAAATAAGCATCTGTGACTATTCTGACAGATGCTGCAATTGTGATGAGTCATGATTTCAGTGGGAATAGTATTTTTCTTTACCACTGAGAAAAATATAAAAATGATGATGCCAATCTTGGTACCAAACAAGCACGTTTCCTTATGTCTAAAATATATGATTTGTAGGCCAAGGCAGCTCTGTAACACCACAATGCTTTATTTATAATATTTTGTGACACATTTTACCTCAGTCAAACAAATACAGTTCCTGTGATTTGGACATTGCACGAGTCTATGTCGTAATTTTAAGAACATTTGGATTCTTCAGGCTTACTGCTGAAAAACACGCTATTTCAGAATTACCATAATATTTATCTCTAAAGAATTCTAAACTCTAAAGGTCTGCAGACTCTCAATTTTGAGATGAATTGGCAGAATACGGACCACAGCAAGAGGTACTGCTGAAAAATATGCATAAACTGAGGGACACGACTGACTCAGCATGGGCCAAGATCCCTGTGGAGTGAGTCCAATACTTCCATGTCAATTTCAAGCTCTTCTTTACAAGTTGGTCCTACCCTGTGCTCATTAGGCAAATGCAAAGTAACTGGAAGAGGTGCTGGTACATCCTGTAATAATATGTCTCTTTTTAATGCATTAAGTGCAGCATTTTCACTGAAACTAGCGTTGACTATACGTGTCACACATCTATGATTTAAACCATAATTCTAAATGCCTGCGTGATGGATTAACAAATTTTGCATTTAAAATCATGCTTACCATGTTTTCTAACTGTAAAACTACATGTGTCCTGTCAACATGCACTTTGCTCATAGATCCCTGGAATCCACTAAAATGAAATCCCCCATCGCTAAAACACCAGATGTCTGCCTGCTTCTAGCTTAAAATTGCTGGCCGTGGTGAATTAAGCACGTTAGGCTGAAGTGTGTCTTAGAGGGAGCATCAGTTGTCTGCATGCAAAACACAGTCACTTACAGCTCATGCCATTCTGTATTTAAAAAAAAAATCATCATGCAAGACGAGCAAAGAAATCACAAAGCCCTTACTTAGTTTCTACAAGTCAACTAGGCTACAGCATCTGTCAATGTCAGGAGCAGAAGAGAGGCAAAGAAATTTGAAGGAAGAACAGAAAAATAGTTGTTAGTGACAGTTTTATAGAGGCACAGAGTGACAGCTCAGTCACTGCTGTAAGATGTAGCATGCATTATTGCAGTTAATGCCCTGTGAGTGTGTGTGTGTGTGTGTGTCAAGTAAAATGATGGATGATCAGATGTGAACTCAAAACTAACACAGAGCAGATGAGCCGTTGCATAAAACCTCACCTCGTTATCCATCGTGTGGCTGCAGATGATGCTGCTCACATGACCCTATCCCATATTTTCGAAGAGGGCCGATCCTTCCTCAAACAAATCTCTGAAATCTGTGTTTGATCACCGCTGCTGAGGGACAGATGAGAACCCCCCCAAGGTTACCCGTGACATGAAACCTAAATTACACTGAATGCAGTTGGTTTAAAACGTCGCCACACCCGCTGGGCGACTGAGCAGGAGGGGGGAAAAAATGCCTATTATGTGATGTGTCGTTCACGTTACTCGTTTGAACCGGTGAGAAGTCATTGGAGACAGCTCGACATAGCGTTAACCTGCAGGGAGTTGGCATGTATGGCAGCGTTTGTCATATTGCATTAACCGCTAACAAACTAGTCACTGTTGTTAACGTTACAGGTAAGCTATTTTTTTTTTAAATTATTTTTCCCTTCACTGATATTTAACCGTTTAACTCCTGAGGTTATTGGTTGAGGTAACGCTAGCGAGTAGCCTGTAGCTTAGTTAGGCTAGCACTGACGCTAATAACAAACCGAGGAGGCTAACGAGTTAGCATGTAACTATTTCACATGAAAAAACGGCTGTTACTTTCGTATTTTCGAAGACACTTCACTCCGGCTCCGATAAATGTTAGAAATAATACTTACAGTCCGTGTGAAGCGCCACTTTGTTAGCCATTAGTCTTGAAATTAACGAGTTTTTCCCAGTGTTTTCTCATGTGCCCAGTGCGTTGTGTTGGTTGGTAACCAGGATAGCGCTCCACCAATCAGGAGACCCGCATCCGAGGAAGACACGCCCCTCCCCGCCAGTCCGCTGCCTGCCTCCTGCCTCCCCGCTCCCTCATCCAGCAAACCTCCACAGACACACCGTGGACAATCTGTTCCCTAAACTGTTATATGCCTACTCAAGTGAGGGATTTATGCATGAGGCTGCAAATAAATCCCATTTCCCCAACTAAAAATCACAACGATTTGCATGGTCAAAAATTCAACACTGTTTTTTTTTTATTTATTATAAATCAATACATTTTATATAAAAAAAAAGGACAAAGGGGGTCTGAAATAAAACCATTGTAGATGTAAACCAAACAGATCAGGCTATGGCCACCCTCTTACACTGAACCCCTAATCACAGACTCTTGATTAACCAGCATGTCTAATTAACACTCAGTCACTCATCCCAAAACACCCTAAGGCTATACTTAAGATCAATCTACAGTTTGGAGAAAAGGTTTCAAATGGGGGAAAAAAATAATGATGTGGTTGACATCAATCTCTCTGCAAAGCGTTCCAAAGTAGAGCAAATTAGCATGCCGTTGCTTTTTGTGCAATTCATTACAACCATCACCAGCAGCAGTCAACATTATTTGTGAAGTGCGCACACATTATTTTTTTTTCTTCTCTCTTTTGTATAGCAGTTCAAGGATGTGAAGATTCAAACTCCTGAAGGTAAACAATATAAGCTTCATGTGTCACCCAGTGTAATGGTCCTGAAAGAAATGCAGGTTTAGGCATCTTCTGTCCAGAAATGACCAAAGACCACGCTTTACGCTGATCTGTTGTGATACAGATTTCCTAAAATGAGATCAATGAGGCGGCTGAGAATGAGCCGACATCCTCGTGTTGTACACATTTAACTGCTTCTTGAAAATAGGTGGACGTCAGTATGGTAGATGCTAGAGGTCAAGAAGGGAGCACAGCAGCTGCTTAAACAAGCTAAGCTGCTCACTGCACTAGTAGCACTCAAAAACACTCAACACAGAAGAGAGGGTGGGGCTGTTACCATGGAAACAAACTGGGATTTTTAAGTGGATATTGATGCATACAAATCTAATTGTCATTTGTATTATTATTTTTTTAAATAAAAATGCCCTTGTGACAGAATAGTAATCCGTTACTGTTTGCCACGTAATTGCAGGCCAACAGTTGTGAAGGCAATACAAGTGCAACCAATTCATCTTCACAGCACTGCAAGATAAAAGCATACAATCAAACTACATTAGTCCGATCAAGATAATTTTCACTGACCCTGACCCTTATGGTGAATATCGTGTTTGGTAGTAAGAAATTATTTGTAGATAGGCTACCCAGATTTCCCTTCTTCTTCTTCTTCTTCTTTTTTTATACATATAAACCATTTCTTTTACAAAACATTTCAGCAGTGTTACCAGATCAAAATTCTCTATATGATAATTGTGGGAAAAGGTTATGGCTTTCTGTTGCCCATTTTAAAAACCAAGCTTTTACTGAGCTAACTCTGCGGGGTTACGGTAGGTAGGTGTACATTAAAATGGACCACATGTCCAATTACTAAAAACACATATGGGAGGAGAAGAAAAGTAAAACAATAACTTAAATAGAAGTGCTTAAAACATAACAGTTCTTAGAGCCCTTTCAAAAACCAAAAAAAAAAAAAAAGGTTGCAAAGCAGAAATCCCACCCCAACAGAAAAGGAGAGCCAAATGAACAGCTGTAATGGTAATACTAATATTCATCCAATGATTCACAGATGTACAGTTCACTTATAGGTCATATCCTTCTCTCGCTTACAAATATTTCTTGTTTCCTGGTCAGTGGCCCCCCCACGTCTGTGAGCCGCGGCTTCCCTCTGTTTCAAGTCTATCTGTAGTGGGAGAACACTCTGTCTCAGTACACCTCCCCTCTTCCTCTTTCGCCATCAGTGCCTGTTCCTCCTCTTTTTTCCTGCGCTCCAACTCCCACTCTACGAAGGTGTCAAAGAGGCTGGGCCAGGCCTCGTCCTCGCTGTAGTTGCTCAGGTCGGGCCCGATAGCCTGGGTGAAGTTCAGGAACATGTTCCACGTGTCCCTCGAGATGCCCCGTATACTTGAGGGGTTCTCCGCCAGGAAGTCCAGCCAGTGCTCCAGGATGGAGGGTGTGTCCTGTGTGAAAACCAGACGCCACAGGGCGATGGCGATCTCGCGCTGCAGTGAGCGTTGGCCCTCCTCAGCGTCCAGGCCAAACTGGAAGGTGAAACGGTACAGGTCCTTGAAGTTCTCCTCGCACTGGGCCTCCAACAGCATGCAGGGGAAGCGTGAACAGATACCCTCGAGGCTGTCTGCCTGGATGGCCTTGCAGCCATCGACAAACTCTTTCCTGATGACACAGACAAAACAGGACTGAATGTCACAGCGGCACAATCTCACTCATGATGAGGTCCAGAGAAAATATCAAGACATAAACCTATATGATAAGACAAAGACCATTTACAAACAGTACAATAAAACATTGTGAAGATATCCAGTACAAACAGAGTGACTGTGTAGAAAAACACGACTCGCCCCAAAGAGTTTAAGAAACCCATTGTAAACTTTAATGAAACAACTTCCTCATTTCAACTTAACCAAATGTTATTTTCACGTCAGTGCTGTGGGCTCTGACTCAGGCAGATATACTTTATTTGACCCCTACAACGGTGTAGGCTTTTCAAAGTCTAATGTAATATAAAGAGCTTCAGTAAGCATCAGTTGACAATGAAACATGTTGGTTACCAGAGTGTGGTATTGTCCAAAGCCTCTGGATAGAAAAGTGCTGAGTTAAAAATCAGAGAGGGGGAACAGGGACGAGTGACCCAGCCAGCAGGCATCCCTATTCATCTCTGACAGTAACTGCAGAGCGGGATCCACTTCCTGTGTGCCCCCTACCTGACAGTCGGTAACCGAGCATGTGAGTGTGTATTTGTGTGGCTCTCTTTGTAAGGACTAGTTTGCGTTTTGCACACTGGGAGTGAGGCGCAGTTGGTCGGCCGTCATTTTCTGGCGCACCTTGTAAACATTTGATGAGGGTTGGCTGTATGTGAAGATGCTTAATGACATCACCTACAGGTTTCCTATGCAGCACATTAAAGCTCAGGGTGTAGTCCAACGCCTATACTACTATGACAAAAGCACAAGGACGTGCTACGACATCCTGTTGCAGTATGGTTTGCTGTACGCAAGCCAGAATGCTTTTCTCACCATTCTGACCCACAAATCCTCTCTTACATCACATACATTCGCTCTTACAGACTGTGACATATGAGGACACCACAATATGCATGAAATAGTACATACTTTGTCAGGGCAGCTGATTCTTCCTAACTCCTGGCTGATTTAAAAATAAGCTGAGAGGCAGAGTAGAGCTAAGGTGAGCCATGTAAAATGTTTTGAGGCCATGAACTGTCCAATGATGGCATCCACCTGTTAATTCAAGTGACTACACCATTAATTATACATACTTTTAAGCCTTATTACATTTAAATAAGTGCACTATATGAAAATTCACCCCCCATACAGTTGTCATGAATGGGACTAAAACAGCTTCAGTAAACATGTTCATTTCTGCTGTAAAGTTGGCCATTTTCACAGGAGATCTACGGGAACTGACTTGCTTTTGGAGGCAGACTTAAGTGGCCTTTCAAGGAACTGTTTTTGCCACTTCTGCCTTGGCAGATAGCTGCTAACAGTTTTAGGGTTAAAGGTACAACAAGGTTTAGGATAAGGGTTGGGCTTAGATATTACTTAGATAATGGTTGAGGACAGGGTAAAAGCCTAGGGAATGTATTATGGCTGTAGTTACCCTCACAAAGATACAACTGTGTGCGTGTGCGGGCTGTTAACCGTGCTGCTGAAAACTTAAAAGATGGGTGGATGAACCACTGCACAGTTAAAGAGCGAATGGTAAACAGAGCAGGGAGGGGCAGCTGCTGCTATCGTACAAAGTACACAGCAGTATGTAATGCTATCGCTCAAATTTGTCTTTGTTTATTGTGTAGTTTGTTTTTCTGTTGGCAAATAAATGACACTACATTACAACACACAGTGAGGCAGAAAGAGTCTGTAACCAGGACTGTGTCGTGTCAATCAGATCGTTAGTGGCAGTAGATGATTTAGGATGTTAACACGTTATCAGTATTGAATTAACAGTGTTATCAACAATAGCAGTGTTTCATAACACCCCTAAGTAGAACCAATTACGACACACAGGCACCTGGAACTGAAAGCTAGCTATGCATTATAGTGATCCTATGCCTTCTCCTAAATGTGACAATTTCCGGCTGTGTTTTCTCTGAATATATTAAAATGCTGAGGCATTTACCCAAACTTTTCTAATCGTGTCCAAGTGATTAAGTCCTTAATTGGATATTGGCAGCGCCGTGCAGAGAAGAGGGCCTGGTCAGAAACAAATAGCGCTACTCTCGGTGACTTGCAGTCGTGTTTATGTGCGGTTCTGATCATGTGGAGATGCGTCAACAGTCTGGCTTTACAACATGTAGGGGGTTGCCCCAACATGAGTCAAAGTTAGTAAAGCCTATCTACTTTAGAGAGGAGTTCATCTGCTTGTCGGTTTACAGTGCGACACAGCATCGGTGTGGAATTTTGTGTCAAAAAGTTTGCCTCTCGTATTATCCAACATTAGAGCTGATCGTTCATCTGTCATTAAAGGCAACTGCTAGCAGAAGATATCATCAAAGCTGGTGGCAGAGAGACAGCAAATGTTGCTCATTTTAAATGTCAACTTATCTCATAACACATCTGACATTAACCTGCATTTTGTTTCACTGTGGCAGATAATACCGCGATTGTAACAGGACACATTTGTCTGCAACATTAAGAGTTCTCCCTCCCTCCATCTTTTTGTCTTGCAGGGCTCACAGCAGTAGCAGCAGGCGCACCACTCATACTGCAAATCTGTCTTAGGAGGGTTTAAGGTGCTCTCAGACAGCAAACTGTTGCTGCCTCTGTTGTTTTCAATGTAAACATGACAGCAGCGGCTTGGAGCCAAAGCGCACGGCTCTGTGTTCGTCCAAAATCGCCGCTACGGCTTGCTGTGCTTCTGTGGCAATCGCTGAAACCTCAGAGTGGGAAACAATACAGGAGGAGATTTCACAGGTACTGAGTCATCTGAATGACATCTCTTCCCCAGGAAACGGAGACAGCTCAGTGAAGAGTGATTGCGCCAGAGCAGCATGAGCCACAAAGTCTGATTATCCGATCTAGGACAGCGTCTGTGATACTACATTCAAAACTTTCTAGATTGGCTAATCATATCATATTACTAGCAATTTCCTCTATTTTAAGCCACAACCCACTCTATTTAGCTGCATGATTAGATTATGCTATGTGGACTGGAGCAGCCTGAGGTGTACGGGCTGGTAAGGATGAGAGGTAGCTGGGAGCCGCCGCCGCCGCCGCAGCGTTACGCCCTGATGCAGTGACGGACTCATCGCTTTAAGTCTTTACTCAGTGCAATGAGAAGTTTGTGCGGCTGGAGTGAACAGGTTACAAAGGTTAGGACATAAATCGGGCTGAGTGTAAGCATTAAACAAACACAAAGATGTGACTGTCCTCATCCAAGAGGAATCCCCTGAAAGTTTGCCACATGAGGTAATATTGTTGACAGCGTGTTACAGCGAAGAGAAGGACTGAAGAGGATTTCTTTAAATAATAAAATGAAGAATATGATTTTTGGTGTTGTTGTTTTTACATCATACATGTTTGGGATTTAAGAGGACATGCCAGTTTATTTTTTTTACATCTTGAACATTACTGGCCAGACTTGACAGTGATGAAGCAGACAGGAGACACAGGGAGAGTAGCAGGTATGACATAAAACAAAAGACTCTTTCGTAGCACGTTAACGCCCTCGTGGTATGCGCCTTAACCACTAAGCCACCAGAGCACCCAGGAAAATGGCAAATATAATACCAGAGCAGATGTGCAATGTTTTATGAATCTAAATTACTCTTTGTGTGTTGAGTGTTGGAAAAGACTTGAAAATGTCCTCCTGTTAGTTAATAAAACCGCTGCTGACAGATGTAAAACTATGTTTTTTTTTCTGATCTGGGAAAGGGATGCATCTGTAATAAAAGAAATATTCAACTAGAGCCAGTTCCTGAGCAGTAGTCATGCTAGTTTATCCTGATCAACAAAACACCAGTGAAAACAACACGCCCAATTCTCCAGACTCCACCTTACCTTGTAAACTTGCACATGGTGGCTGCTTGAAACTTCCAGGCGAGAACGAGCACGCGAAACTCTGCTGGGTCCACGCATAGATCATTACAAAACCTCTCCATGCCCTCCTCCAAGATGGCATCTTCGTGTTCGTCCTTGTAGCAGCAGAACAGCTCCTCAATGCGCGGCATTGACAGCCCATCTCCGTCCGGACACTCATCCTTGCACGGCCCCGAAGCAGGAATGACGGGCGTCTCCACTGTGACCTCTAAGGCTTTGGTGCCATTTGACAGCTCGCTGGTGGCTTTGCTACACGGGGCGCTCGGCTCTTCTTTGTGGCCCCCACCACCAGCACTGCCGCCTTTCTTGTGGGACTTGGAACCGCTCTCCTTGTCTCCACTCTTGCTGCCGAGGGAGGACGTCGGATTCTTACACTTGGTGACACACTGGCCCATGTCTTCCTCCCTGGTCCCTCGTCTGTCTTTCCCCCTCGCCTTCAGTCCCCGTCCGAACCGCCTAGACGCCTCTGCTCTGGCCTGGCGAGACGTCTCAACATACCCTCAAGCCTGAGGTGAAGAACAAATAAAACACAGTTAACGATCACGCAGTGTAGCTCCACAGCGATTCCGTCTTGCTCACAATAAAAAGGTGAAAGTTGCAGACATTAGTGGAATCAAACTCAAAACACAGGGATTTTTGGACACTGACGGTCAAGAAGCTAAGCTACCTGTGCCAAATCTGCCACGTTCCAGGTCTTCAATTAGCAGACTTAAAAACCCTAAAAGTGACCAGAGAAAACAACAGTCTATATGCATACATACAATGCTTACACAATACACAAAAAAACACCCCTGGTAACCACAGACACCCACTCAGGTAAAACTGCTTTTGTGTTGAGACAGAAGATTCGTATGACATTAACAGGACTTCTGTTGAACCCTTTTACCACCAAAGTTTCAGCCACAGGAAATGAGAACACATTTTTTATAAGTTAACCTCATCACAACCTTCCCTGTTGTTTGTTTTATGCTAATGATCTGTACTGTCTCCATACAAACGGCTCGTGTGCAATTACGCGAGTTTATCGAGAAGTGAAAACAGAATTTGACAGAGGAAGTTTACGATCAAACATTACTACGCACCAGCACTAATGGCAGCAGATGAAAAAAACGCAAACACAAAAATGATGAGCGTATGACAATGACGTTACTATGGTTGTCCATTAAAACTGCAATATATCTTCTATGACATTTACAGCAACCTTTTTTTTTTTAATCACATGGACTATATGTATCCCAATTCTTAATATTTACAACACTTGGCAGCATAAAATATACATACGAAAGCCTCCTCAGATTAGAAATTAAGATTAAAAAAAGCTATGACAAGCTTTTGAAAGGCTTTTAAAGCTGCTCATGTGCATGGGAAAGATTAGGGGAAGTTGTGCTATGTCTGAAAAGTTAATTTACAAATCTTCCTAATGAACACTACAGGGGTAACTAAGATTGTGACTGGCTAGTAAAAATATAACAATAAAAATTGATGACTAAACAAGATGTGTAAACAATGCATTCTCTGTTTGGATCTACCCGTTTACTCAGCATCGCCTGGTTTTATGTGTACATGTTCCTGCAGTTAACTTTCCTGCTGTCACATCTTCACACACACACAGATGTATGAGATGATCGTGCATCCAATAACACAGTAGCTGATTAGGATGTTACTTACAGACAGTCCTTCAGATGGCATTGTCTTTCTATTCTGCTCCATCACTGTGACCTTGACATCCGCAATGCTGAAAAGACACATTATCTTGTCATCATAAGCAGAAAGTGATAGCTCATCATCCCCAAACCTGCAGGACCTATTTTTGTCAACATGCTATGAATATGTAATTTGAGCACAACGAAACAGTTTGCCTCATTGCAGAATTAGTCAATAACTGATTTATAATAACTACAAAGAAGACAGTTCACTTAAAATATGTAGTGCACCAGCAGGGCTTTCACAGCTCTTGCTCTAGGACTTCATTTATATCGTCAGGTGAGGGCAGACTCGCTTTGTCCTGCTTCGGCTCTATTGTAAAAAACCCACAACTTCTGGTTTCGGCTCAAAACAACTTCGACTTATTTCTGCGATCGCCGATTGTGTCGAGCCATGATCCTTAGTAAGGACAATACATGTTGAGCAAATCGAGTGCACTGATCATCAGTGGACATGTATGGGCAAATCTCTCACAGGTCTATTCAGGCCAACTTCACTAACATGAGATGGACGTCTGAAGGCCTATTTATTACATTCAAATTGTAGCTAAACATCATCCACAATAAGCTAGCACGACAGTTTAGCAAACACTAAGTAATCTAGTAACCAATCCATTAGATTAACCAGCCTGTTAGCTGCTCCTACAACTGTCCCAGATAAAGTTAAGCTACACTACGAACACTGTTGTCAATGGACACCTTCAGCTAAGTCTGATAACGGACCTCTACTAACATCAGCACTATTTTAACAAGTTGTGTCTGTCGCGAAGTGTCGAGCACAAACAGGATCAAGTGAGCTTAACAGCACATGTACAACACTCCCAAAATGTCATGTAAACAGAGTGCTGATTATCATTTACACCTGGCTATTTAAACGATTACACGCTACTTTAAATGGTGCTTGTTGTTAAAGTGTTGTGGTCCCACAACACATCACCGTCACCGGGCCATTTAACATCCGAACTGGCTGGCCCGGGCGACGTCGCCATAGCTAGCTAGCATCAGCTCGGTTAACTAAAAGTTAGCTATCGGCTATGCTAGGTCTTTTTCGACTAAGACATCGAGAAACACCACCAGTGCTCCTCGTAAAGAAACTTACCTCTTTGGAAAATTCTCTTGTGTGGAATGTGGATGTACATCACTTCGGGAATGCCAGTACAAATTAAATAGTTAAATAAGTTGGCCGAAATACCATATACGACCAGAAACGAACTGAGGCAAACTCGTCGCGTTAACTCAGATTGCTAGCTAACTAGCTGGCAGCTGACGAAAAAAAAAAAAAAAGAAAAAAAAAACTTCCACATCAATGTCGAATTCTGTTCCGCCTTCAGAAAAAAAACAAGTTAACAGCTAGCAACCTGGGCCATCTTTTGAATCCATTTTCTATTATGTTCGCTCTGTGGAGTGAGTTAAAAGACCATCTCGGACTAAAGCAGCCAATTTCTTTGTGCTTCCCCCTTTTAGTCATTGAGTGTAGCTACATTATGGACATTTTCCTGCATCACTTCCTCCCTGCCTACCAGCGACCAACAGCTGATCTCCATCTGAGCGACGATAAGATACATCTCATAATTTTAACCAACTTAACTCCTTGAAAAAACGACGGACACGTTATTATAAAAACACGAACTAAAGCACTTGTTTTGTTTATGACAGTTTATAAGATCACTGAGAGAATAATATTCAATATTAAAAAATGTGTCGAAACAGCGTTTTAACTCAGGTTAAAAGGCTAAAATCGAACATATAAACAGTGGATTGTAGGTAATTATCTGACACTTTAAATACGTAAGACAGCTGTAACTTCACGTACGACTAAAAGTAGAGACACTCATTTATTTTCCTGTGTTAATTCGTTTCTTCCCGATTAACAGCCAGCTCAGGAGAGACGTCATCACTGTGCGACAGCTGTGCGTCTGCTGCCCTAGCAAGCTGCTGGCAAACTAGCCTCTTCTCCAAACACAGTCGGTAGGTCACGTTTTGTCATAGTAAATAAAAAAATATGAGTCGCGACATCTCAAACGCGAGTTGTTTAAGTGACTGGCACTTATGTCGTTATTATTTTAATCCCCGTTGTCTGCTTGCAGATACAGACTTTGGGCTGTCAAAATGAGGTTCAAGGATAGCTAGCTTAATGTTTACACCTGATGCTAAGCTGCTCTGGGAAAGATTAAGGTGCTCAAATACTGTCATGGCATCGTTTTTATAACCTCTTTTAATCTTAATACATATCAGAACCAACAATTATTACCTTATACTGAGTCATGTAACAGTTACTTAAGGCTGTGTTTGGGGAAAACAGCTCCGTGTTGGTTTTAGTGGCATCTAGCGTTGAATAATGGGAACACTCAGAACTGGACAACGAAGTAAACAGAAACTACCCCAGACTGACAGGGGCCCAAAATGTCCATAGTTCTCTGTATGTGTACAGGATTTGGTAGTTTGATTAACCTCAAATTTATTTGCAATACTGCAGCACTTTAGTGCAACACTAATGAAGTTGTGTCCTATATTACACTGAAAATGTGAAAGCAGCATGTAATATTTGATCAGATTCTTCTGGTTAACACGGGAAGTGAGTATTTATTTACAGCATCTCAACAACAGAATTGAGGTCATGAAACAACTAAGTATGCATGTCTGTGAAAATTCTCAGCCATCCAGGTCATGGTTATTCACATAGATTAATCATAGCAATTGGACTTGCTTGAGTTCCTTGAAGACATTTCACCTCTCATCCAAGAAGCTTCATCAGTTCTGACTGACGAGTTGGGAGATCCAGATGACTCCTTAGGGATATAAGTACCTGGAACTCCCAACTAGTCCGTCAGAACTGATGAAGCCTCTTGGATGAGGTGAAATGTCTTCAAGGAACTCAAGCAAATCCAGTTGCTAAGATTAATCTACGAGAGTAATGAGGCATGCACCACATTGGAAATAATGACGGTCAGCTCAAGAGTGGGGTCATAGACCACAAGTCAGTAACAAGTCACACATCTGTGACGTATAGAGACAATGAGACTGTTGCTGTTGGCTTGTTGATTGTTGTCCCACTCTTCCTGAAGGACTTGACTAAGTTAGTGGACATTTTAGGGCTACAGAATTACTTTGAACACATCCATCCAGAGCATCATGCGAGCAGATTATCTGTCATACCGCGCTGTCTGAAACAATCTCTTAGACGACAAGCAGTAAAGCTGTGGACATTCAAGGCTCTGGCTATGACCCGAACTGACATGTCAACATCCGGCATGTCGACGCTTCCTGTTTTTGCTTGTCTTCAGTCATCTGTGGCGTTATGTCATTTAAATAAAGCTGCATTTTAAGGTGGCCTTTTGTCATCACTGGCCAAAGGTACTGGTCATTTATTTGTACATTGTCCTTTAGAGTCACATGTGACAGGGGTGTGGATGAACTCAGTGTTTGAGAATTTGTCACCAGTTGGACAGCTAATAAACTTTGTGGCACAGCTGTCTAAATGTAACCCTTTCCCTACCAGAACAATAGATGAGATTGTTTACTTTTTCTCCAAGTCAGAAAAATGTGTTAACTAATCCTGTTGCCCCGCAGCTTTATTGCTCTGTTTTGGTTCATTTATTTCACATGATACATATTAGTAAATCTAAAATTAAATGAGTTTTTTCTCAAATTAAATTTCCACAAACTTCCTGTAACACTTTTTGTATCATTCTAGTTAGAAACTGGTTGGTTTTGTGGTCTCTGGACGAATGCTGCCACATTTAGTTTGCTGTATGTGCTATACTTATTGGAAAGACATCAATAGAATAAAAAAAATGCAAAAGCCTTTTCTAAATAAGCCCACCAGCCATGCATTTCAACTCATCTCATCATCTTTATCGGATTTATGCAGATTTATTAAGCTGAGTGTAGAAGTACGAAACGGATAATTAAAATTGAATTACTAGGGATTGTAATGTCCTTTAATTTCATTTCCTTTATTGTGCCGGCATCTGTTGTTTTCTCAGATTCTGAGCCCTGATGACGGCCTCGACTCGCAGCACAGTGCTGTCGCTGTACAGGCGTGTGATTCGCATCGCCCGAACCTGGCAGGCGCAGAGTGGTGTTACAAGTGACACCGAGACGGAGAGGAAGTACATAGTTCAGGAGGCCCGCACTCTGTTCAGACAGAACCAGCAGGTGTGAAAAACAATACAACACTAGTTATGTAAAAACAGTAGGAAGTCGTAAAACTAATTCATTGTTCTGTTTGTTTTTTTAGCTCACAGATCAAGAATCAATAAAGAAATGTTTAGAAGAATGTGAAGCAAGGATAGAAATAGGTAAGCGTGGAAAGATACTGCAAGGGTTTCTCATCCTGTGCAGGCAACGGGCCACGGTAACGGTTCAAAGTAGCACTATTTTTATGTTTTTGTTCCCATGTTTCCAGCATATCCATGAATTTCAGGGTTCTGATTTTCGTTTAGCCTGAAGTCTTTAATAAGCAGCGTGGTGGTGAGATGGACCAAATTCAACAAAACATCCAACAGGTGCTGACTTGTTAAGTCATGCAGCATGCTCGCACTTCCACTCAGCTCTTTTGAGAATTTGATTGGCTGAGTGATTCTACTGTCAAGTGCTCGTGCAACGTCTCGTAGGCCGGTTTCATTTTTGGTCACTTACAGCAGATGTCGATCCAGCAAGGCTGCTTGACAGTCAACCAGTGTGATGAAGCATCTTTCATGGGGCGACTGAGCAAGTTCAGCTGAAAGTCTCGAGTGTTTCAGCATGAGTAAGCAGAGGAGTAAACACCGATCTGGACGTTATTGACAAAATAATCTTTGGAGACTGCAGAAAAAGCAGAACCATCAGCACAAGCGCTATTGTCATTAGTCAAGGGAAATAAAAGCCTGCTGTGATAACTGGTGCAAATAAGATCAGAAAAGTGCTCCTCTTTTGCATGCTTGATGATTTGTTTTTGATACATTAGAAGACATTAATTCAGCAAATGGAATTTTAGTGATGTTATGTAGCCTTTGATTTTTGTAGCTACTTTTATGGGTTGATATAATATTGATAGGAATATGTTTTTTTTTACAGGTCTACATTATAGGAACCCGTATCCAAGGGCTGTAAGTAATATCCATGTATTATACTGATTCAGTATTCTTCCTGTTTGTTTTTTTAGTGCTGTTGAGAGATTTAATTGTATTACTGTATTTTATTCTCTGAAAATTCTCCCACAGACCTACTTACCACCGCTGGGACTGGCAACACAGAAGGGCAGGAAGCTGCGAGCACAGCAGCGCCTGAGGAAGCAGGCCAAGCCAATTTACTTACAGTCACATGACGAGACCTGATGCTTGATATCCTTGATCCTCGCCAAGAGTTCAAGTTACCAAGGACAGGAAACTAGAGTGCAGTCACAAGCTGATCTTGTGCGCCGAGTTGTTGCGAGCACTCACTGATGCACAGCTCTCATCATTCAGGGAAAAGCCACTTTTCATTGTTATTTTTATTTTATTTTTTTACCATGAGCATGAGTCATAACTGTAGGTGAGGATCCAAAGGTCGAGATCAAGTTGTATATTTTATTTATACCTATGTCTGAATAATGATGATTGTTTGAGTAATAAAGTGTCTTGATGTGAAGAATATCTGAGGATGTGGTTTCATGATAAAATCTACTGACAGAATGACTAATGAAATCAATGTTTTTACTGTAGAACTGATGCTTGGTTGCATATTTGAGGAAAATGTGTTCACGGCTTCTTTAGTCTGAGATATAATCCAAATTTCTGAATGTATATTGAGAAATTAAAGGTTAAACAGAAAGGTGACACGGTTCCTCAACAGTGGTCACGCAGGCAGAAAATAATAGATCCGTTTAGATTTTATTTCCGTGCATGTGACCTATCTGGTTATGCAGAAAATATGAAGCGGTGCAGAGACAACCGAATTAAAAACTCAGGGCTATTTTAGTGCATGATGACGTTCTTCCATTCAAGTACTGAAAATTAAAGAGGAAGGTACAGAGCAGCAGGAAGAGCTTCTACAGTTTGTACATCTCTACAACAAGACATCTACAGAAAACACATGCAGTAACAACATGATGCACCTGCTTGCTTTAAATAGTATAGACGGCACTGAGACACGAATATCACTACAGAGACCACAGAGAAGCTGCTCTGGTGGTTTTGATCAGATCACAGATCTTATCATCAGCAGATGGAGTTTGTCCCAGAATTGTAAACGTGCTTCAAACTGAATTTTCTTTTTTTAAAATTTTTTTTAACAGTCGAGCACATGACGTGACAGATTGTCTGCTCTGAGGAGGCTGCAGAAGGAGAGAGGAGGCGAGATGTTGTACTTACTGTTGCTTTCTGAGAAATATGCTACGCTTACGATTTCACACCGAAACACTTCAACATCTGGTCTAAAAATATGAAGAAAAAAAATAATCTTTATCACTTATTCCATATTAATTGTATGGAATGCAGGCCCAGAATGCTGTGATAGTGTCCAGCATTGCTTGGACATGTATTTCAAATCTTATCACAAAGTAACAGAGAATTTTATGGAATTGCTCTGATATTTCTTTTGTCTAACCCAGCTTTTCCATAACAGTGATACCTGTGTGGTGAAAGAGCAGCTTGGTTTGTACATTGCTTTCAGTTTCATTTAGAAATCCATCCATCCATCCATTATCTATACACCGCTTAATCCTCACTAGGGTCGTGGGGGGCTGGAGTCCATCCCAGCTGACTCAGGGTGAAGACAGGGGACACCCTGGACAGGTCACCAGTCTATCACAGGGCTACACTTAGAGACAGACAACCAAGCACACTCACATTCACACCTACGGACAATTTAGAATCACCAATTAACCTCAACATGTTTTTGGACTGTGTGGGAGGAAGCTGGAGAACCTGGAGAGAACCCACACTGCACGGGGAGAACATGCAAACTCCACGCAGAAAGATCCCGGGTGTCCTCACCGGGACGCAAACCGGGGACCTTCTTACTGCGAGGCAACAGTGCTACCAACTGCTCCACTTTTCAATTCTCCATTTAGAATTATATTCAGATATTCACAACAGTTCTAGTGACCTGTAGGTGGGGTCAGTGGTCCACATTTAGTGTGATGTGTGTTCTAATTTACTGAATATTGACTATTTTTCTAGCACAGACTTGTGACCATTTACTCATATTACTATAATGTAGAAAAACAGTGTAAAATGTTCTGTTCTATTTTAAATGTCTTGTTTTGATTACAGGAAACTGTCTCATATCCACCAATAAACTGCAGTCAGTGATAGCAGTGCTTGTATTACACATATGGACTCACTTATAGCAGTCACAACATTAAAACCACTGACAGGTTAAGTTGATAATGTTGATTATCTCATTACAATGCCCTGATCTGCTGGGAAACCTTGGCTCCTGGTAGATGTTATTTTGACTCATACCACCCACTTACTGCAGACTAAGCACACCCCCTCATGGCGACAGCGCAGCTCGACACCAGTGGCTTCCCCTAACAGGGAAATAAGCCCCACCACACCACAAAAACTGCTCGGGGATGGCTCGAGGAACATGACCAAGAGCCCAAGACATTAACAAAATGCCTCTGAACTCCTTTGATTTCATCCGCAAGCTTGATCCATGGGAGGCCACACTTTGAAATACACTCAGAACCTAAAGGATCCTTGCACTACCAAACACAACAGGACCCTCCAAGAGGTCCTGTGTCCATGACCCAACAGGTCAGAGCTGCCCCAAAAGAGGGCCTTACACAATACTAGACAGGTGGCTTTAATATTGGCGCTGATCAGTTTTGGTGCAACTGTTCCCGCCTGCTCTAAAAGATGTCACTTTAAATTAATATTCCAAGAGAACAAATTCTCTTTGCAAACAGGGGATTAAAAAAAAATTTGCATTTTAATAAGAAAAGTAAACTAGGTGTCCTGGATTTAATTGGTCGTCTAAATTAGTGATCTGAAACAGTTAAAGAGTGCAAGATAAGTGGAAGTTAGGTGTTTTAAACAGCCATGCAGAAATAATTGTCTTCCACTTCAGTAACGTGGTGCATTTCAGTAAGTTGGCTCCAACCCAAAAGTACTTGAAAAGCCCTCTGTAGCGGCTAGATTCTGTTGGGACTAAAGCACATTTTTATGTTCTGCTCCATTTTCCAGCAATAAGTGGAAAATCAAAAATGTGGATCAGCAAATATGACCTGCGATGATGTCAGCGGGGCGCACGTTCAAAGTTCGGCTGTATATCACCGAGCTGTAGCACCACAGAACTCTCAGATCATTTTAATTTCACTCTCTGGACGGAGTCACCTTGACGAGCAACGCCTCTCCTCTTCTAGGACGCTTTGAGGTCATTTTCTTTGTCCTCCAGCGCCACATTAACCTGCATGCAGCCACATGATGGAGCCCAGTGAACACCAAATTAAGGGAAGTGCTCGTGTGCTGTTGGAAGAGGTCAGTCCGGTGGACGACACACGAGGATACAACCTCAGGCGTCCGGGCTGTGGCGTCTTCGGGAGTCCTGGTCGAATTGAATGGCCTTGGTTTAAACATGGAAGCAACCTGTCCTACATAGACGGTATTCTGTCCTCGCACCGCTGGGGACAGACAGAAAGAGCGGATATATGTTTCAGTCACAGATCTACATGACTGCTACAGGACCTAGTGAGTGACGCACACAGAAAATAAGGTTTGTAAAGGAATCCTCAAGGGAGACTGTCTGTAAAGTAATCTCCTGAATGACGAGGGGTCAGACGAGGAGACGGTGGGAAGGTGAGCCTGTAACGACACCAGAATTAGCCAAAGAATGGGTTCTACAAAAAGTAAACCTATAAATGAGGGCAGATAGTCATCATTCACTCTGGCATTGGCTCTGGATTTATCCTGATGAGCTGTGATTGTGGTTGATACTCAACTCTTTAAAACAATAGAAGCCAGTTAAAGCGAAACCGTCTTTTAATCAAAAAGGATGGGATTTTGTATTGGTCTCTGTGAAATTTTAGACTGATGTGCCAAAACCTGCCGGCATTTATTATTTTTAATATTTTTAATTACTCATCAACTCAGTGTCAGCATGTTATTGTTGCACATTGAAATCTGAGTCTATGTTCGGATGCCAATATCTGTTCAGGTTCTGCTTCATCACAGCCAAAAACAGCATTCTTTTATTTTATATGACCAAGTATGTCTTATTAAAAAGTATATATGTTTTGTTTTGTATTATTGTGATGCAGAACCACACATGGCTCAAAAAATATCACTATTTGACTTCTGCATTATCAGTTGTTTTGGTAGCGTGTGCTCAAAGATGGGACTTTTCTTGACGGCTTGATTTTTCTTTCTTTATATTTCCACTCACCTATAATCTGAGATTATTTAATCTGCTTGTATAATACTGCATTTCATTATATATTTATTATTACATTCATGTTCTTAATCAATGGTGCGATAGGAAATACCAGTGACAATTTCAGACCTGGATCTTTAACTGTTGTTGAGCTATTGTTGTTGAAACACAGCCTCAAATTTCAATGTGTGGAGGAAAAAAAACAAAAAAAACCCTCAAAACTGAAGATGGGTCAGCGGGCAATTCTGAAAGTATTTGACAGCAGCTAAAGTTTCACAAATATCTTTATAAATATCCATATTATATGTTACCAAAAAAGGGCAAATCAAAAATGGTTGAGCTGAAATCTTTCTAAGGTGATTTGAGATGGAACGACCACGTTGGAAACCTTCAGAAGTGTTGCACAGGACCAGTCAAATGTAAGAGGACACATCAGGCAAAATACGATTTAAATTTTTAGAAAATGCTGCAACCAATCGCTATTGCAACTCTTTATCCACCAGGGGTCACACCACACTTAGTGCTGAAGCCTGGTGTAGTTCAGAGAGTTCACGCCTCACAACCGTGACTGAACTTTAGCAGTGGGAGTGAACCGCAGCCGTGACTACGCATTTAAGGTCTGTTGTTCTGTATGACACCAACTGGATGCTCAGAGGGGGGAAAAACACTTACTGGAAATGACCACACACAAAAAACACTAATAAATCACAAATGCAACTTTTAACATAAACTGAACTACAAATGTTTCTCTGCTGAACATTATGCAGTGTCTCACTTGATCCTCTGTGGACTCAGCGTAGTCATTTACCACTCCATACTTGTGAGGCACAGTGAATAGGTTTGGTTAAAGTGTGGGGCCGCTGCTACTCCCTCTGTTCTCTCTGTTCTTTCTGTTCTCTCTCTGGAGACCATATTACCTCAGTGATAAATGACTGTCCTCACTGTAATTGACCACTGATGGGAGACCAGTGGCGGCAGCAGACTGTTTTAACATTAATAGTAACAGTGGGTACTCGCTCTGTGCGTGCATATATAGCATTCATGGTCAGAGATGACCCCTTTCTTTTTCGGAATCACTCTTGCTGGGATTTCATTCATTTAAGCAATTCATTGCATACATCTGAACTGATGACAGCACAGGTGTTCCTTCTCTCAGTGAACTAAATATCAGTAAGAAACAGTCCTCACATGCACATCTCTTATCTGGTCAAACTAAAATAAAACCCATTTGAGCAGCCTTTGTAAAGATTAGATTGTAATATTTTGTATCTGATCT